AATATGTAATAAGTTTTTTAATTATTAATTAAACTGAGTCGTTTGATCATATAAATTTTTAGAGTTTAAATGAAAGTTTGAACCCCAATTCTACACTGACCAAAATAGAAAATTAAGTTTGAACATGATTTGAGTATGTTCGAGTTGATAACTTGACTCTTTACACTCCTCAAGCTTGCCAAACAAGATTATTTTAACTTAGTAAAACTATTTTAAAATTGTAAAACTAAATGCTGAGATCCAGATAAAATGACGATATATGTATCACTTGTTCAATTTTGTGACATATATATACTAAGACGTATTGTCATCCACATTGGCAATAATTCTTCCTCCTATTAAGGAATTAATTAAGCAAAAATAGTGGAACTAGAAAGAGTACGGTGATGAAAGCATGCATAATATGTATATTATGCATGTAATGAACGAGTTGCTTTCAGAATATTTTATGCGAATAAAGGTTGAATAACCTTCCTCACAATGCAACAAATTACAAGTAAATGAGCCTCTCAATTTTAAGTGACGTAGAACAAGCACTAGTAGCTAAGAAAAGTGCACGATGGCTTATCACAACTTTTATAAAACCATTGGCTCATCGTTAATATAATTCGACCATTATATATTTAAAAATAATTTATAGTGAAGTGTTGCATATGATATACTAACTTTAGTAACGAGCCTAAAATTCACTATTTCCTCTTACAATGCAATTACAAGGGATTGAATGGGAGCACAACATAATCCACAATAATCTCGTTGCGTTATATGTTAAAATTATATAATTGCTTTACATATTATCCTTTTAAGATTATATTTGTCACATTGTTATAGTATTAGGAGTATACATAAAAAATAATGTGACAAAATTTTCATTAATAATTTAAAACATTTGGGATGACTAATATATATATCTAGACAAAGGAAGAATAGATTATCAAAATTACAAATAGATGTCAAGGTTATTTCACACTATTTGATAATTTCTCCACAAGTAATATATAATATGGACCCCTCCCCGTGTCCTTTATTTTGTATCATATATATACTCGGAACTAAAGAGTAATCAAATTAGTAATATATGGACAACCCTGCAATTACTTTTTTTTAGTTGTTATTTTTGACCCCTATCTCAAGCTTTTATTATTAATTTTCAATATATATCTATCTATTATATATAATAATAATATATTTTGTATTTTCAACTAATTAGACAATTAAGGTGCCTAAAACAGTAAAACTATGAAATAATTTTATGGAGTATAACTAGATTACCCCTTAATCTAAATAAAAAGGTACTTTGTAGTATTAAATCATTCTAAGGGCAAATTACGAGTGAAATTATTATTTACCTTATCATCATTAACAATAATATCTTCCTTTTATCATAAAAAAAAAAAAAAAAAAAACGTAGATTGTATATACTGTAGTATATATTTCTCATTCTTTACTATTACAACTCTGCGTTATTACCTAGGATCTAGAAAAAGGCACGATCCGATGAAAGGTTTTACCACTATCATAATAAGAAGTATATAATATATTCCACTATTTATTACAAATCCAAAACTAGATGTTAATTGCCTTTGGACTAGACAAGATAAGATATATATGTTTTAACTTTAATTTGCCTTTAATCAACATAGATTAGTAGTTAAGTTAGTTAGATTAACCATCATTGCTATTGACTATTGTTACCCACCAAATCCTAATTTATCAAGAATTAGTCAGGAGTCCTAGTCGTCATTGCCTCCCTATCTTTTCACTTGAATAACGATTTGCCCTTGCTTCTTTGACAAATTAATCTGATGTGCTATTTGATAGTGCGATTTTGCTCTAACACCAATTAAGTTAAGATTAAAAGTTTATAGTTTACGGTTATAATTTTGAATCACGTGAATTATTGTACAGAACATTATTTAGACAATCATAATACTTTTATGCTTTAATCGTTACCATCATTCATGTCAATTAATATTTAATTAACATGAGTACATTTTTTCACATATTGGCATATGCCAACAACTTAACGAACATCATTCTTGTTGTTTCCAAAGCTATGTAATTGTACTTGTGAATCATTGTATAGATAAAATTATCTCATAACATTAACATGTCATGATTAACCTAGATAAGAAAGTTAATAACTAAAAACCATGCATTAAGCTCAAACCAATCATTCTTCAAAAAAAAAAAAAAAAAAAAAAAAAAAAAAAAAAAAAAAAGGGTCAAACCAATCAATAATCAGTAAGCAAAAATTAAGAGCCCCTTAATTTGCTCCAATAGCAGTACATAGTTAAACAATGATGCCATCTCATTTTCATTCTAATCTCCTCAAATTATACCCCTTTCTTTATCATGGCAATCCAGACAAAAAGGACGCGCCAAACTTGGCCAATAATAATGTTTTATATTAATATCATTTTTGCAATTACAAATTTACAATTGACAGTTAAAGGGACCCTCATATTTGTGAAAAATCTAACGGTCAACACAACTAAAAGATTCAATACAAAGCATGAGTTATCATTAATCATCACAATAACTAATTTAGTCTTAGTAGTTAATGTGAATCATTCTAAACCACTCTAATTAATTTTAAAACAAAAATAAAACCCTTATAAGAAATATTATTAAGGATCAAAATAAAATGCTAGTGGTTCTTAGAGGCTTAAGCCGCTTAACCACCTTTATCATTTAAGTTTTAGGGTAACTACATATAAACTTTATCTAATCTTTTTCATGTCTCAATAACAGTTGAATTCTTACATCAAGAATATAAGGTAGGTTGTCTTATTACTACTCCTTTTCAAGATCCTCGTCAATTTTAGAAGTAAGTGATAAGAGGGTAATCAATTAAGCCACTAAATAATTATCATCAAGTTTAAATTTTTATGATTGTATGTGTAATAATGTAATTAGCTGGACTAATAATATATAAAATCCTAATCCTAACTCCTATAGGCTATAGGGTATAGGGTAACAAGTAGCTAATTAATTAATAAGAGGGACAATGAAGCATGTGGGTTGTTTTTTGCCTTGGACTTTAGGGTAGTAGACAGATAATTGCCACTCGTGCAATTTCCTTCATCACATCAAAATCTCATCTGGGAAAGGGAAATGGACTTATTACTCAATGATTGGGATAATAAGGATAAAAATCATTAATATCTTAGACCTACATAGTTAACTACATGCATTTACTATCTATACTAACCATTTGAACGTACTTGTAACATCTTTAGCATATCTTATCCTTGAGATACAAAGGACATTCACAATTTCATATGAACTTGGATTCATTTTATCAGCCATCAACTAGTCAAGTACATCAAAAACTAAATCAAGAATCGAGGTAGCCATTATTGACATTGGATCGCTCGTGTGTATATAGTAGTGGTGTATGAGGTGATCACGTCGACGTCAAGTTACTGTTTAAGATTTTTTTGACTTTCTATTGTTACACTTGGAAAGTAGTAGATATAATGCCTCACCTACACATAAAAGTATTCATCAACCATTAACTAAAAAAAAAAAAAAACATATATACCTATGTAGATCCGCTATAATACATATGCTTACTTCATTTATAATAGTTTACTTGTCACTCCTTAACTTGCTAAGCTCGTTAAACAAAAGAACTTTATTTTCATCTATACGAAAAGAGAGACTTGGATGAGTTCATCCAGATAAGAGGACAAGATAATGTAATGAATTGCAAGGTATGGTAATAACAAAAAATTTCATTGGCTTGATGTGTCTATTTTCTCTTAAGAGTGGTAATAAGTACCTAATCATGCAAATGCTAATCAAATGTGATTGTCAACCGTACTAGGCATGCAATGAGACATCAATTCTCTGAAATAGTAGTACAAAATGGTCCAAACAAGACAAATTAATGAGCATAATTCGTTTTCTATTCATGTGGTTCCTTATTTTCCTAGTTGCCCCTACCATTCTCCTAATTTAATCAACACCTTTCGCTACTATAAAATCTTAGCTATATAGTTGCTTGAATCAACTTTCTTCCCTAAATTGAGTTATTTTACATTATTACTTGTAATAGAACAAAAGTTACAAAACAATATCTAATCCATAGTACTAGAACTAGTTAATCAGATTTAAAAAATAACAAAATATCTAAATTATTAATTAATAATTCTAATTATACCCTTACATTTGACAACAAATACAGTAATTGACAACAAAAGAGTACAATAATAGTACAATATTGTATGCACATTTTAACTCATTGATGAACTCAAGGAATGAAGGAATCCAAACAAGGTATCACTCAATAATGACTCAAATTAAACTTGGAATTTAATTCTTAGATTCTCATAATTCGATTTCACACCCCTACTATAGATCGTATGAGTATTTTTTTTTAAAAAAAATTATATTTTTATTTTTAAATATATGGGATGCCGCAAAAGCAATAACATAGATAAACATATTAAATATCACGAAACAATAATCAAACGATTTCCCTCATACACTAACATGCACCTAATGCATGGGCAACTTAAAAACTAAAGGAAGGTTCCCTTCCAATTTGGAGCTAGAATTTGCAAGATGATCCAAAAATTTAGTCAAAACAAGAAATTAAATAATGATAAGTTTGATAACATGAACCCGAGCTGACTCATATCTGTCAACCCACAAGAGTAATTCGGTAAGATATCATTTTTTATTTATTTTGTCAATTTTTAATGGTCATTAAATTAATAAATATTTTTATTCTGTATATTAATTTTGGTAAAGGGCTAAAGGCATTGGACTTTATTATTGACTTGAATCTTAGATCCGAATCATCACCAGTCACCACCCCCTTTGAATACGGGTACTTAGTTCTAATATTTGCTTATTTATTATTTATGTTCTTCCCCCCTAAATTACAAACATTATGATTATAAATCTAACTTTATATTTCTTGTAATCTAATCTAAAAAAAAAAAAAAAAAAATTCTTCTTTGTATACTAAGTACTCCGTATATATTAAGAGATTACTGGGACAACGCTCGTGTTCAAGAAGCAAAATTGACATTTAATAAGTAATGGAGGAACTTAAGAGTGCTAATTGTTACTCGTCGAGCTTGAAATTAAAAAATGGCTTAATTTGCTTAAATTATACGAAGTACTCTATAAGACTGAAAATTTCAATGTTGTTAATAAGCTGAATGGAAGTAAATATATTTATTGCACATGCTTTTGTTAATTAGCTTAATGCGCGCTATACAGGCACGCGTGCACAGAGCCACAAATGTATCCTCTACTATCCTCAATGTTTCGGACCCAGGAGAGCAAGAAGAAAACTTCTGTAATCGCCTGATGTTTCTGAGTGGACTGCATCAACCAGTGACTTCTTATATTTCTTCTCATACTCCGCCTTAATGTACTGCATATCAAGCTCCACCCTTGTTACAATAACCCTGATGAGTGTCGTGTCATCGGTTCCCAAGCCCTTCATTGCTTCTCGTAGTACCTGTATTGCAGCAAGGGTGGTCATAATAAGTTTGGATAGTAATCATTTGTAATGTTAAACATTTTCCAATCCAAATTTGTAATATGATTATATGAATTAAACATGTTACAATCAAAATTTGTCCATTAGTTGAAAATTGAAACAAGTAGAGACTTCATCTTGGCTAGGGACAAACAAAAAGAATACTCCATAGTCATCAACTAATTTAAGTTACCTTCGCAAAGTATTTTGCTGGGTTTTCTGCACATCTTAGAATTGTCAAAAGAGCGTATGCAAAGAGCCCGGATGTTTCTTTCTTTATAGCCTGCAAGAACAATGAGAAACTCTCAAGTGAGACGGGTGTATGGTAAGACAGGGATGACCTTTATGTTAACATAGAGATTAAGGGGTGTCATTCTAGAATTTGCCGAAAAAAATAGTAGAGCACCTCAAATACTTGTTCAGGAAGATGCATAGAAAAGAAAAAAAATGTACCTTTCTAATGGAATGTCCATACATACTATTGTAGGTTGAATCCACAGCAGCTAATTGTGCCCTGCTTCTCTCACTAAAAATTTTAATGAACTTGTCCTCATCAGTTCCTATTTTCTTCTCCCCTGCTTTATAGAGGGTCTTTGCATCGTTATCAGCAAGCGTTCTATCAACTTCGAAACCTTCATAACGCTGTACACTTACATATGCTAGCAAAAGCTGCACCAGAAGTGATGCTTTGCCTCGTCAGCTTCTTACAGATTTTATGACTAGGACTCGCATCATAAGTTATTGAAAATCACCAGGACGTAAAATACGTAGTAAAAGAAATGGTACCTTCTGGTGATCTCCAGAGGTATAATATTTTAGATCATGCTCTAGGTTGACCCCATACTCTGCATTGTAGATCTGCTTGAAGATCTGTATTTGGGAAGGTGTACGAGAACAAATAACTTCAGTGGCACCTCTGAGATCATCTGCAACCAATGCCTCCCTCACACTAACAGCATCGCGTGTTGCTGGATCTTCCATCCAGAGCAAAACCGCATCCTGAAAAAAAGACATACATGTTACAGTTACTCCGTATTAGACTTCTTTTACAACCGGTGAAGCTGAGAATAGAAAAAAGGAGGGTTGGGAGGAAGAGCAAATGCCCGCACGCAGTCATTTGATCGCCCAATTCAACTTACTCTTCAACATGAATATTGGAAAGGAAATGGACTAAACACGGGCAAGAAAAATGGACATAAATTCAGCTATAAGTATTATGAGTGACATAATACCTCTAGTTTACCGCTGAGCTCCTTTGACAACCGATGGAGAAGCTCTTCAGAGTACAAAGGTTCATATTCCTGCTTAATAGCTGCTCGCTGAGAAACATCACGATGAGCAAGAATATCGATCACTGCTGAAGTATCACAGCCAAATCCTGAGGGGAAGGGGAAGGGTATTCAAGATAAGACTAAGAGTCGGATTTCTTTCAGTTAAAATGACAGTCATATGAGATTCTGATATTCTGCTGAAGTAAAATGTTAAAGTTAAAGATGCACAGTTCAGGCGCTGATATGAAAATTCTAGCGCATACAATTCAGGCACTGATAAGCCATTGTTCTTGAATAATTAAGTACAATCAGCAGGATAATGCACTGAATATCAGTGGAAACAGTGAAATGATTGAATAAAAAGAAACTTTTTTATTACCTTTGAAGGCCTTGTAGAGTTTAGCAACATCATCACGAGTTGAAACCGGCATTGTAGGAACACTCAGACTAGACATTTCCGTCCCTAATTACAGTTTTCTCCGGGATTGGATTACAAAAGCAAATTTCAATGTTCAAATATATTTTTTTGGGTGCAATTTCAATGTTCAAATACGGCTTAAATTTATAACAAGTTCAAATTAGGTTGAGTAGACGTTAGAGTTTTCAACACACAAACAATCTAAGACTTTAGACTCATGATGGGAGGATTTTCAACTATGAAGACGATGCCATTAATTTTCTAAAAAAGTAGGTTTATGAAAGCTATGTTAGTTTTCATTCTTTAATGGATATTAGCATATTTTACTCAAGAGCACAATCTAATGATTGAAATATACTTTGTATTTATCTAATCACGACTGTTATAATAAAAAACGACAGTCAAAAAACTAATGTCAAAGAAAAAAAAAAACTAGAAAGTTGGTCTAAAGATTTTGATGTTTATTTCCAACCAATACTCTTTACAAATGCTGGTATTACTGTCAGATAAAAGTACATATTACTCGCAATAAAATGTCAAGATGCTGACTGAACTCAATAATTCAAAGAAACTCGGAGAATCTTCACTTATATCACATAGCCAAGCCAACCTAATAATGCTGAATAAAGTCTTCATTTCACACAATAATAAGTTCAATGTTGATAACTCTCTAACATAAAATACATACAAACACCCACACACACATCCTCAATATTATGGACCGAGGAGAGCAAGAAGAAATTTCCTGTAATTGCCAGAAGTTTCCGAGTGAACTGCATCAACCAATGACTTCTTATACTTCTTCTGGTACTCAGCTTTGATGTACTGCATATCAATCTCCACCCTTGTCACAATAACCCTGATGAGTGTTGTGTCATCAGTTCCCATACCCTTCATTGCTTTTCGTAGTACCTGCAATACAACAAGGGAGGTCGTCATTAGTTAAAAGCATTATTTATTGACATATCATGGCAAAACAAAAGAAAAAAAAAATAAAAATCATGAACCACCACAAGGACAGAAACTAGTTAAAAGTTCATGCAGAAGACCCCTATAGTTAACCAAAAGGCAGAACTACATGAAAGGGCACAGTTATAGAGCAGAGAAAGAATCACTCAATTAAAGTATACAATTGCTAGAATGCACTTCAATTTGAAAGATGATAAGCTATAACAATTAAATAAAAGAGCATATTGCAGAAAAAAAAAATATATATATAGCATCACCCCCATGCTTCTCACAAAAGACCAATTACTTCATTCCATTACTAGGATGCAGTGATGCAATTAGTTTGAAAGATGAAAAGCTAAAACCGAAAAACACACACACACACACACAGATTGCAGATCCTCGAATCCATTTAATCATTGTAAGATAAATCAATAAAGAATAAGCGTGACTTAACAACTGCAAATACTCTAAAATTTCCATTCTAAAATTTACACAGCATATAACAAATCATATACTCCATATGTATTAATGTATAACCATCCAAACAGAATTAATCAACATAAGTCTGTTGCCGGTCATTTTTAAACTAGAATCCTCATGTCCATTCAGTGAACTAGTGAAGCATTGTTCAAACAAGAGCTGATTTCATGATGACTAGTAATATAAAGAAATACTTGATCATCAAATATTCAAGAGTCACCTTTGCAAAGTACTTTGCTGGGTTCTCAGCACATCTTACGATTGTCAAAAGAGCATATGCAAAGACCCCTGACGTTTCTTTCTTTATAGCCTGCACCAAAAAAGGCAATAAAATTATTAGTTGAGTATCTCAAAATTTTGCACAAAAAATTCAAACAAAAAGAATACCTTCTCAAGATTGTGACCATGCATTCTATTGTAGGCTAAATCTGTAGCAGCTAGCTGTGCTCTGCTTCTCTCACTAAAAATTCTTATGAACATGTCCTCATCAGTTCCTAGTCTTTTCTCCCCAGCTCTATAGAGTGTCTTTGCATCATTCTCAGCCATCATTGTATCTACTTCATAACCTTCATAACGCTGTATGGATATATATGCTAGCAAAAGCTGAAACAACAGTGGTAATACACCTTGTCAGCATCAAACAGCTTTTAAAACTAAGTTCAGATCACAAGGTATTGAAATTCGCCACTTTGACAAAGTAAAAAAAGGCGTTACCTTCTTGTGGTCTCCGGAGGTATGCTTTTCTAGATCATGCTCTAGGTAGGTCCCAAATTTTGCATGGTAGATCTGCTTGAAGGTTTGTATCTGGGAAGGTGTACGAGAACATATAACTTCAGTGGCACCCCTGAGGTCATTTGCAATCAGTGCCTGCCTCAAAACAACAGCATCACGCGATGCTGGATCTTGCATCCAGAGCAAAACTGCATTCTGAACACACAGCATGCAGGTTAAGGTTGTTTGCCATTTCCATTCACAAAAGGTGAAGCTTAGATAGAGGGGGAGGAAGACCAAAGAGGAAGGGGGGAAGACAATTCCATAGATCTATTAAAGCTATTCGTCATGTGAAAACATTAGCTATGGTAAGAACACCAATCAAGTTACATGTATGGAAACTCAGTTAAACATGATTTATTATCAATGCAATCTAGTGTCAGTAACTTTGTAAAAGTAATAATGGAGTTGAGAGTATGAATAATTTAAAAAAAATTAAAAAAGAAAACCATGCCTTATCTTGGCATCTCATACCTCAAGTTTACCACTGAGCTCCTTAGACAACCGCTGAAGAATATCTTCAGAATACAAAGCTCTGTATTCCTGCTGGATAAATCCACGCTGTGTAGCATCACGATGAGCAAGAATGTTGATCACCGTAGCAGTGTCACAACCAAACCCTAGAAGGAAAAGTATTCAACATAAGAAAAGGCTATAAGATGATCAAAAGCCAATTATCTATGCAATTAAGAAACAAGTGACCTAGTTTCCATCTTGGGGCTTAAAACAAAAGAATTTCCCATACTACCACTAAACAAAAGAATCCAAGAACCTACTTGGAAAATTTAACCTACCTTTCCATCAGCATAACTCATCCTACAACAATTCTTAAAACTTTCCATTGATTACTACGCTAAGACACTTTGATACACAGTTGCGATACAAACGTCGATAACGAACAGAACTCTTTACATTCCAGACAAGAACCTACTAACGCAGAGAAGTTTTTGATCAATAATCAAATATAGATTACTGTATTTTATCTAATTTAATTTTTGTTCACAAAATCAAAGTAAGCTATCATTCGTCACTATGATCACAGCACTAAGTTCGACAATTGCATAATTCTGTAAAACATTTCATAAATTCACATAATACCAAATAAAATAGCCCTAATTCACTCTAATACAAAATTCACACAAAACACTAAATCCTTCAAATGAAAATCAGAAAATTACAAAGAAAATAACGCGAATGTATCCTAAGAAACCCTAAATATCATAAATTTTCCTCGTCAACTGCAATTTCAAGAAAATTTAAGCAATTAACACAGGAATTCAGTCGAAACAGTAAAACGAATGATTAATCGTCAAACTGAAAAAAAGGAGTCAAAGGAGAGAGAAAGAGAGAGATTAATTACAGTACCTTTGAAGGCCTTGTAAAGTTGAACGACGTCGTCGCGAGGAGAAAGCGGGACTGGAGGAATATTAACAGTGGACATCTTCGTCTTCTCCGAAGTTATTTCTCTCTCCTATTTGCGTTTTCTTTGTAAATAATGCAGAAAGATATGATTGCGATGAATTAAAAAAAAGAATTTACGGATATTCAATATTTCGACTGTGACGTGAATTTAAAACACGTAATTTGGTGTCTTTTAGCGAAAAAACAGGGGATAAATCTCTTTTTTCAGGTGGTGAACAACATGTATCTCTTGTTTTAATAGACGTTATAGTGTTGGGCTATCTAACTTGTTAATTAAGTTGTTAAAGTTTAATGATAAACAAAATGATAAATTTAGATAAAAATTTAATATACTCTCTGGGTTACTTTCTTCCAAACCACAAAAGAAAAAAAAAGTAATGATGTACTCCTCCATCCCCTTTTGTTTGTCACAAGGAAAATCACAGAAAATTACGGGAATTAAAGTGGAGAATGTGAAATAATAAAAGTATATAGGAAAGTGAAATTTTCAACCAACAAAATAATAAAAGTGTATGAGAAAGAGACATTTCCAATTAAAAAAAGTAATTAAAGTACATGGAAAAGAGAAATTGAGATATTCAAGAGTGTAAAACATTAAATTAGTCAAAAGTTGGCGCAATTTTTATGGCAAATGTTAGGGTAAACTAGGAAGAGGAAGGACAAAAAACTGAGGGTATAAAAGCCTTTTTATATATCTTAATAATTATGAAATTATGAAATGTGACAAACATTTAGGAGCACCTAAAATGACAAAAATGACAAACAAAAGGGGACGGAGGGAGTATTATAAGATAATTGAAAGTCAACTAAAAATTATACAAAATATGTTAATATACTACCTAATTGATTCTTTATAAGTAGTGGAGTTGGGGAAAGAGAAATGGATGGATGAATACTTTTTATTAGAAAATTAAAGGGATAATGAAAATAATACTATATGAGGAGAATGCTCTTATAATCTTGCTAACAAGTGCTTAGATCAAATAGTAAGAGAGATTTTCTAACTTCATCAAGGTCTCGAATTTGAGACTTAGGAACACAACAACACTTGTTGGGAAAACTTTCCTCCCAATTGAACCCTAAATTGGCTCGAATTAGGATATTATTCAGAGTCTAATAAGCTCTGGATTAACCAGGTATGCATTTATTTAAAATGGGGACAATACAATTTTTTAAAACAATAGATAGACAAATTAAAAAAATAAAAAATTATTGAGGGTAATTTTGTATTTTCAGGCTGCTAGTTGGGGGGTACAATCATCTTTCTATGATATCACATGGAATAGATGGCTGGGTTAACGGAATTTTGTTGAAGATGTTAGCAAAGTAACTCCCTTTGAGTCCTAGTTAGTCCCATTTACTCCAACAGTCCAACCTTTGTAGAATCTTCTTTAACGCTTCTCCCCTCTTCGCTCTTCCTCCTATTCTCATCATCTATTGAACTTATATTTATGGAATCGTAGATATACAAGGCCGTTGGTGGTTATAACGTTAGGCAACTGTTGATGGTGTTTTTCGAGCATGGTAGTTGAAATTTATGTAGCAAAAGGTCTGTATTTTCCATGAATAACACCGTGAATTCGAAGAGCATCTTCAATGGAGTTTCAGAAGCTCAAGGGCTACTTCAATGGAGGAACATTACACCTTACCCTTAAGGGTTGATCACGGTCTTTTTTTTTTCTTCTCCTTTTTGTCTTAGGGTTTTAGTTTTACAAATGGTGACCAAAGCTAACGACGATAATGACTACTTTTTGCACCGTTGCACAACGTCAAAGTAACACACATCTCACTTGAAATAACAATAAACAAGGTAGAGGTGATCAACAATGGCCCGGCTCGCTAGCCCGGCCCGAAAATAGGGCAGGTTTGGACAAGCTTAAAATCATTTTTTAGTTAAAAGCCCGACCTTGACCCGAAAAATCCCGTTTTGGACCGACAAGCCCGCCCAACATGACATTTGATGTCAAGGCCCCGTCCGGCCCGAATTTATGATCACCTCTAAAACAAGGGTAAACAATAAAATATGTATAAAATGTTTTCCCAATGCAAATAATAACGAAATTGTGATTTGAGATACACCCCATATTTTTCAATATAAAAAATTAGACTCGCTCTTTTATCAACCACGTCAATAAAAGATTCCAAGTGTTTCCCATCACGTTAACAATTTACATGCCAAAATTTACATCTCACACTTTTAAATTAGAGCTTCTCCAAATTTTGCACAAGTAGTTGAATTTAGGGCTTAAAATCTTTCTTGCTACAATAGTTGCTTCTTTCTAGTTTCCTGTCTTTACACCTTTTTTCAGTGCCAATTCTTAAACCTTGCCCCTATAAGCTGCGAGCTCAAGAACACTTTTAAATGCCGCAAATTTCCTTCTAAAATTGCCCCATTTTCGATCATTCAACTGCAAATTAATCGAAAATGACGGCGATTTTCTGTCGAATTAAAGAGACGAAGTTGAACAAATTCATCTACCAATTCAGAAGATATCATTTCCAGATTCCTGTACCTCAGTTCGTCAATCAAACAGCAGCTTCGCTTAGATTATCGGATTATTATTTTCTATCTAATTCTCCGAAAATTAGCCCTAATTTTCAACGTCGGGATGAATTATTCAATTCTAGGGTTCGATTCTATGCGGCCCCAGTTCAGGTTAATTTCGTGATTCAATTTCGGTTAGTTTTCTGGAAAAAATTTCAGTATTATCTTGAGAATTTGGGGTTATTTTGAAATTAATTAATGGTTGTTGAATTTGTATGTTGTTAGATTAAGAAGGAGAAGGTTACTACTCCTAGTCGACCGCGGCTTAATGAAGAGATTAAAGCGGATATTTTAAGGGTTGTTACTGATGAAGGTATGTTGATTTGGGTGCTTAATTATTGTTAAGATTGTAAGAATACAATAAAATTGTATAAGTGCATTGTTTGTTTGATTAGATTTTGAAGATTTTGGTCAATTGAATTATATTGGACTGCTTTCTACATTGTATAAATGTACAAGTGTGTTGATGTTTAAACTTTGAGGGTTTCGCAAGGATCGTCATGTTTCGTATGTGAGTGATAGTGTATCTATGTGGATGCTATGGAAGGAGGTTTTTGCTTATTTTGTCCCAAAAAATAATGTTTGATGTTAACTCATATAGAATGATTGTTGCTTTTCTGATACATAGTCATGCTTGTATTCTTTCCAATTACCTTTGTTTGCCTATTGCCCTAAGCTCTTAACATCTTTGTTTGTAATTCGTATGTGATAACTGATATTGACCACCTATTGCCTTCATCGGTCATGAAAACACAAAAAGAATTTACCTTAAACATTGTCATGTTTTTGGGTGAGGAGAGTGAAAATTAGAAATTTTTTAAGAAAACACAGAAAGTAATCCAAAGGGTTTTTGGTGGTTGAGATTTCTTGTGTTGAGCATGCCTGCAGGACATAATATTATCTCAAGACAGGAAGCTCTGAAGCGTGCAAAAAGTCTCAAGCTTGATCTAGTTGAGGTAAATATTCTTAGTATTGCTTCTACAAAATTATGAGGGAGAAGTAATATGATTTCTAAGCTCTAACAAAGTCTATAACATGTTTTGTGGCAAGCATTGTTGACTACCTATATGTTTTCAGTGGATTTTCCTTTTTTTTTTTAAAAAACTTCTCCTGTTTATGTTTTGACTTGAAAGTTGAAATAATTTGCTATCTAAATGCAAATCCATGCTTCAGAATTCACATACTTAGCTTTAGCTTCATCATCATAGGAGCACCGATATATCCGGAGATGATAGCCATAAATTGTTCAAATTGTTGTAATGATATTAAAATGGTCATGGCGTCCAAAGGTTCTTTTGTATTTTCCAAAGTGAAAAAGATAGTTTTTTTCCCCCGTATTATGATCATCACCCAAAGATCCCACTTATCTTATGGACTCTGCATTATTGACCCTCTTGGATCTAGTGTTAAACTGTTGATCAGTCTACATCATTGATCCTTCCTGTCTTTCATGTATCATTTAGCTAAGAACCATTCCCTCTCTCTTTATCTCTCATTTCCATGGCTAAGGTACCGTGTTGACATGTGATGATCCACCTCGGCACCTTGCAGCCTTGCAGGACTGTAAGTGATAAATCAATTCCCTTGAAGTATCTAGCCCTTGTTGTTCTTGCTTAATACTTAGGTGATTGGAGATCTAGAATTTTGTTGGCCAGAATTTAGAACTGCATGGTCTGGTGGCTGTCTCTATGCTTGTTTGGTGGTTGCAGCTATTAAAGCTTAACTCACTTCAATTTTATGGTTAAACTGTAGTCTAAGATTGACTTAGAGTTTTTGTATCTTTATACATGTTTAGACCATAGGTAAAGCTTATCAATGTCATTCTTCTTTTCTTCTCTATTCTCATATGTGTTTCTCTTGCTGGACCTCAAAGCAAAGGAACCCAAACACTTTGTAGTCACACTAACGCACACCTTCCATACGAGAAGCACTCTACCCCCCATGATCCTTGATAATTTATAAGATGTTGGTTTAATGGCTTATTATTTTGCAACTTGTCTCCGGGTTTAAGTTTTCAAACAATCTAATTGGTGGCAAATTAGTAAACTAATTTGTGGATAACGACGTACCCGGCCTTTGATTGTTTGTCTCCAAGCTTCCTACCTTGCATTGCCTGCTGATTACTTACCATCCAATTATCCCTGCTGATTACTTACCATTCAATTACTCCCCCCACCTCCACCCTCACTCCCATTCTGCTCAACCAAATAGAAAAGAGCTTCAGTATCATCCTTGCAAGAGTTACAACCACCATACATCTTTCGTTGTTAGCGGAAATAATCATTGCTTACTGTACAGTGTGCACATCTCTTTGACGAAAAGCTTCCTCGAGTTCCTATCTAAGCCATCCATCTCCTTATTTGACAATTTCTAGCCAGTTCTGTATGTTTGCATTCTTAAGTCACTATGCCTTCTAGTATCATGGACAATCAGCATTAAATGTCATTGTTCCCCACGATGATGCTGGAAGAGCATTGAAAGTTCCAATCTTCACTTGTCCGCAATCTCCCAGTTCTCACCACCACCTTTTTTTCTGATTGAAGACCTTGATTAGTCTTACTGAGATTTAGTCATTAATTATTAATCATTATAGACCTTAATGGGGTTTTATATATTTGTTTATTTATTTTTATTTTTATTTGGGAAGTTTAGTAATTTTTTCATTTTATTTTTATTCTATTTTTATCAACTTGGTTGGTTCATTTTTCAATATTCTGATATTGCTGGTGTTATAAAGGTCTGATATGTTTGTGAGTTCACAGGTTGACCAAGTAGCAAAGCCTCCTGTTTGCAAAATCATGGACTATAACCGGGAACGGTACAAGAAACAAGTTAGAGAAAAAGAGCGTGCTAAGATAAAGGTAGGAGATTCTTGTTGGAGGTGGTGTCCCTTAACTCTCACCCCCCCCCCCCCCCCCGGGATTCTTCGTTTTAAATAAATTTATCTTAGTTGTTTGATTCCTCTTCTTTATTATAAGAAACTCTGGTGCCGTATATTGTTTTGGACCTTATTCTATTAATATTTTTCTAGCAACCAGTGTTATAATATTTGAATGTGCGTGCTTTTCTTCTGCAGTCTGCTGGCAGTCTTAAGAGAGGAGGTTGCAAAGAAATTCGTGTTTCTGCGAAGTCTGTAAGTTTTTGCAATCAAGAATATTGCTTTATGCTAATGTAAACCACCTCTAATGCTGAAGGTTGACTGTTATGTTCTGATAGATTTGTTATTTGTAATCAGCTTCTTGATTTCCTTGCTCCAGGAATCGAAGGATGTTAAGATGAAAGCAGACACAATTAGGAGATTGATGGAACGTGGATACCGAGTAAAGGTAATTCTTACCTAATTTAATATTTTCTGTTTAGGTTAAAATGCTTGGCAACCCCCCCCCCCCAACAACACACACACACACACAAAGTAAAAAAAAATGTGGTGAGATTTTTTTTTTTTTTTTGATATTTGTATGTATACTACCTCTGTTCTTTTAAGTTGGTGATACATTTTTTCCCACATAAAGCTTACTACAATATCTCCTACCTTTTCTTATTAAACTATAATTTTTTTTGTGAAATAAAAGCTGGAATAAAAATTGAGGAAATTTGGAATAAGATATATAAAAACAAACTAGAGTCCAGCTTGCTAAGAAAAAGGCATAGTTGAACCCAGAACTTTGCATAAACAGGAAGCTTTTGAGTCCAATGTGATGGCACATCAATATGTTGAAGGTTACCTTAGTGTGTAGAAACACTCATGATTAGTTGAAACTTGAAAGATATTCTCATAATATTACTGCATGAATGTGAAGTGCTTGGCTTTGCATTATTGATTTTTGATCAATTATTTTCCTGCAATTTTCTATTTATGCAAACCTTGGCTTTATTTCACAGTCACTAATTGGTTTTTTTTTTTTTTTGATCTCAATCAGTGCATGGCTACTGGTACTGAAGACCAAGATTTAAGTGGAATTCTTTCTCAAATTTCTGCTTTGGTAGAGACCTTGTACTTTCTGTATTTTACCAGTTTTCAGAGCTCTGGTTTACATCTGTTCTTGTTCTCCTGTTCTTATGCCTTCTGAAATGGTGTAGATTGAAGATGATGCGTTTGTTGAAGAAAAAAGACCAGCATATTTAATAGTTAGGCATGTCAAATTTGGTGTGTCAAAGAAAGGAGGCAAGAAGTCTTCCAACAGTTCCAAGGACAAAACTGCTGCCAGCTCAGAGATCCATAACGCTGCTGCTACTTGCAGTGACAGTCCTGCTGATTTGGGAGAAGCATCTTCCTGTGAAGAATCTGATATGGACAATGTGGATGATGATGTGGAAGCACCCTTGCAATGTCAAGAACAGCCTACATGGCCAGCTACTTCAGTTTCTAGTGCAGACCAAAATTTTGCTGAAATGTTTGACCTCAGCCATAATGTGAAAGGGACTACCAGCATTCAGGAGAAGCAAATCAGGTTTGACGACAAAGCAGCAGCTGCAACATCCAATAATAATAATGCTGCAGGATTCACGCCTCCTGGAGTGTGCAACTTTACTGGTCCAAATGTAAGGCCAATCGCACAAGAAATTGAAAATAGATACGCCGGAAGCGCAGCAAAGAGTGCTTCAGCTGTGAGGAATCCTACGAAATTTCCTAATAGTGAAACTCAGCGCCAATCTCATCCTCAACTCCACCCTAGTGCTCTTCCACCTAGAGGTCCCAGACAAGGTGGAGTTGAAGGTTCTCCATCTATGAATTTCCGTCTTTCTCCAGATGATATTCCTCAGCCAAGGAGCGAGTTTCAAAGTCAATCAAGTCAGCCTAATAGTAACTCATCGAGCTCCATGGGACACCCACAGCCACCTATTACTACTGGTAGTCCTAGATCTCAGTCAACGGGATTTGGTACATTTAGCAGCACAAAGGTAGATGCACTTAAAAGCCCCAGGCAAGGTGGACTTGAAGGTTCTCGACCCACAAATTTCCATCTTCCTCCAGATGTGACTCAGCCTAGGGGTGAAATTCATAATCGATCAAGTCAACCTAATATTAACTCATCGGGCAGCATTGGACACCAGCAGCCACCTAGTAATACGAGTAGCCCTAGATCCCAATCAATAGGTTTTGGTAAGTTTAGCAGTACAACGGGAGATGCTAACCCCAATATTGCTGGCCCTTCAGATGTTACTAGAAATTCTGCTCCAGGTGGTTTGAAGCCACCTATACCAAGATCTGATGGACCTCAGAAATCAGAGTCTACTGATAAGAAATGGGGAATATTTAGTAAATAGAGCTCAATTCTGTGTCAGGGAGGAATACACCAGTTTCAAGAAACAACCAATACGGAGTAGTATTATTCATTCCAATTTGGATTAAGTTGGGATCATAAATTCATATATTTGTTTTAAATTTTTCCGTGTAATAAACCCTTGTTGAGTTGGGCAAGTTTTTTCTACTAATACTAGTATTGTATAAGCACTATACTGCTGCAAGAAATTTTGTATTTTCTCTGAGTATGATAATTTTTTTCTTTTTTTTTTACACAGTAAGATACGGGGGGTGCCTCTTCTATCACGGGAGGGGTGAGATGAGAATCGAACCCAGGTCACTCCTGGAGAAGATGGAGGGACAAACCATCCCTCCACTCCATGATCCTCAGAACAATAAGATTCATACTGATATCGTTGCATCCTTGTTCAAGTATCTAGTATTGCTACACCGTATGTAATACAATACCTTCCATAAATGAAGTCCCTAAGATTGATGCCTTGATGGAATGATGGGGTCATGTTCATGGATTCCAAACATGGTTAGTCTCTTCGCATACTGCCCGTCGAATATGAAAAAAACTATACATTTGGGAATATACTAAGCGTCTAAGCCTCCAAAACAATAAAAATAGGTTTACCAATTACCATTCCTCATTTTCATATGGTATCATGGTAACACTCAACAAATTGTTGCTATAAGGTTTTGTGTCAAATGACGAAATGCCTTAAAATTACCTTTACATATTAACACACTAGATGGAAACCCGTGCATCACGGTTTTTTCATCTAAGATTTTTAATTATTTGATTTATCGTATTTAATAATTTCAGACAAAATAACAAAAGTTTATTATTATTTTTTTTTTACTATAATTTATAATGAATTTATTAAATATAAATAAATTGTAAATATTATATTTTTTCCGTTATATAAAATCTTTAATGTGAAATGATAAATTTTTAATAATTTAAATCCTAAATCATTATTCATTGTTTTACCATATCTTTTATTTCGATAGAATCACCAACCTCGTCCACAACCAACCTACTACATCAATGGATAAATTGAACCGTGAAATGTTAGCCAAACTGAAATTGATATAAATTAAATCTTTACATTTATATAAAATAAATCAATATATTTAGCAATAAATGAAAAATTGTCACGATATAAAATCAAATCTATGCATTGGAATTCTTTCATCATCTCCAAAAATAACCAAAGTCATCCATATATTAAGTATACAACATCTAATCGTATGTCATTACATAAACAAATAATCGTTAAGTATCCTAAATAAATACAATGTAACTAATAATTACAAATATAAATTTAAACATAATATTTTAAAAATTACCAAGACATTGATGACCTAAAACAAATACAAAATTACTAACACAAAATTCGCTTGATGAGATTTTGTATTAATACGAAATTTTATTTGTGTCGTATGATGTGTTAGATCTGCATGTAAAAAAACATTTAGTAAATAAAACATAAACATATAATCGTTGAGTATCCCAAATTAATACAATGTAAGTAATAATTAGAAATACTAATTTAAACATAGGATTTTAAAAATTAAGCTAAAAATTACCCGGCCATTGATGAACAAAAATTAACACAAAATTACTAACACAAAAATCGCTTGATGGGTTTTTTTTTTATTGATACGGAATTTTGTTTGTGTCGCATGATGTATCAATTTATAATGGTAGGTATCACAAATTTTAATTTAATTATAATTAACGAACAATTTGTATTTCTTATCATAAATACTATCAAAATTATCTTATAATGATAAGTATCAAACTTAATTATAAGTTCATCATTTAAATATTTTTTAGTATATTTGTTTTGGATTTCTTATACTCGTAGTATTGAATTAATAAATTTATCTTTTCCTATATTTTTACTATATTTTTTTCATTAAATAATTTAATTCGTGGATTATAATCTACGTGTCATAAAAATTTTAGATGTATTAAATCTAATTCGTTACTTTTATCTAGGTGGCGGCATAATTTTTTTAATAAAAAATAAAATACAAATCTTTCTTCTTATTGGTCGAAGTAAGTATATTTCTTACATGACGCTCCGAAGCTCTCCAAAAATGGCTAATTTATTTATATATATATATTAGATATTAGTTTTTGCTTTTCAAACCCTCCAACTCTCTAATTCAACGATTGTGATTTGTGAATTCGTAACAAAGAAATACGCACAAGCAACACGAGCCACATCAACACATTACCCCCTCCGCCTTCCCCCCATTAAAACATTCTCCTCTTTTTATTTTTAATTTTTTTTTAAGAATTTCATAGGGTGATTTTTTTTAGGTTTTTTAGAATTCAGGTTAAGTAAATACAAAGTACAAAGTATCATAGAGAAGAAGTCAAATATCAAGCTCAAGGTATAACCAGTTATTCATGAAAAAGTGCGACAGAGGAAGTTTAGGAGGACGTGATAAGTTGCATATTTCTTAGGGGTCGTTTGGTTGGATAATTTGGAATGGATTGGAATGGAGTTAGAATCCATTCCATATATTTTTTTGTTTGGTTGAGTTTTTTTAGTAATGGAATCTCATACTTAAGGGATTCTAACTCTACCCCATACCTATGGAATACCACACCCACCTCTCCACTAAGATTCATAATCCATTCTATTAATGAAGAATTCAATCCATTCCAACATTAAACCAAACAACTTGAGGTTAGTATGAATTTTAGAATCCATACCTTTCTATTACGAGATTTCATTTCAATTCATATTAAACCAAACAACTTTTAGTTAGTATGAATTTTAGAATCCATACCTTTCTAATACGAGATTTCATTTCAATTCATTTTAAACCAAACGCCCCCTTAGTGCTTACCCTAAAACGATTTTACCCGGATACAATTTGTCTTTCCAAGTTGTCAAAAACAAGCAAAAAAATAGACATAAAAAATTAGGCGCCCCCGAAAAAAAGATCTCTTTAAAATCCCAACAAGTACCAGCTCTCGTTCTTTCTTTCGTTCTTTCTCCCTCTTCAAACATAAACAACCACCACTCTCTCTCCTCTGCTTCGTTATCTCCTTGCTCTTCTCCACCATTTTCTGAGGTAATCTTCATTAATATTCTCTCCATTTTCTGGATTCGACTAATTTATGCATTACATTTGTTTATTTTCCATTTCAATTCAATTCTTCCGTTGTAATGCTTACCTACTATGTCTCACTTCAATGAATTAATTTTTACTTAGGGTTTCCATGTTGTATGTAGAATTTCTACTTTCTGTTCTTGTTATTTGGTTATATTTTCTGAAAATCTGTTTTCGTTGATGAATTCGTTGGATTGACGGTCTTAAGATGTTAATTTGGGGAAATTTCTGAAGTTTTTGATACTTGGTTAGGAATTAGGTTTTCTAGGGTTTACTCAGCTGTGAGTTACTGCCTTATGGTTTTTAACTATAAACTTGGTGTTTAATATCTGTTTATGCCAATTTACCATTTATGAGAGGAATTACTGTGAATTTTTGGAAGTTGTAGTTGTCGTTTCCTGAGTTTTCGATTTGCACTCGGTTTTACGTCATTTGAGTATTCGTGCTATACCATTAGGAATAAGTTATTGTATTGATTGGTGGATTTTGTTGTTGCTGAGTTTCATTCTTTTGTGTACTTATAGAATATATATTTGTCGCTTGCTGAGCAATTTTTTGGTGCAGTGATTTGAAGGGTGAGCATTATGGATTTTGATGAGTATGATTATTTAGAGAAGACGGTAGAAAATCCTGAGCCACAGAAATCGAAAGAAGCTGCCAATGGGGGAGATGACCTAGTAAAATCTGGGGAGAAGGAACGTAGCCGGAGTTCTCGGCGTAGGGGTGAGGACACTGAGGATGAAGATCGCAAATCTAAGCGCTCTAGATCTGGGGATGATGCACGTGAGCGTGATCGTGATCAAGACCCGGACCGGAATAGGGAGAAGCGTTCATCCAGGCATCGATCACGATCTAAGGAAAGAGAAAGGAGCGAGAAGGATGGGGAGAGGCGTAGAAGTAGCAGGGGAGATAGGGATAAGGATAGAGATAGAGAAGAGAGAAATGGGAGGGACCGTGACCGAGATAGGGATAGGGAAAGAGAACGTGAAAGAGACCGTGATTCTGGTAAAAAGGAACGTGATCGTGAGAAGGAGGGTGAGAGGGACAGAGATGAACGTGATCGACGTAGCAGGAGTCATTCAATTAGACATCGGGAGGATGGGGAGAGAACTAGGGATAAGGAATACAGAGAGAAAAGCCGGGACAGAGAGATTGTTGAGAAGAGCCGGGAAAAAGAAAGAGAAAGAAGTCATGACAGAGATATCCATGACAAAGAAAGGAGGTAATGTTTTAAAACCTCTAATATTTTTTTTTTAATCTCCTGTTATTTTATTTGCCTTCTTTCAGAGGTAGACTTTAATATCTGATTTGACATATGTATGTGCATTTTCCAGTTTGTGATGGATACTGACTAATTCTTCTTGATATGCACTAATAATTTAAACTCATTATTTCTATATAATAATGGATTTCTTGCTAACACTTCAAGGTGTCATAGCAAGCTGTTAAATCAGTCTCAAATATAGCTTGTTTGTTATGTCAGGCATCAGTGCAATGTTTTTATTTCCTTTTTTGTATCGATGTATGCAGCTAATGATGCTGTTTAATATTTTGTTGACCTATCTGTAAAGGTGTAAACTCATCTGTTGGTGAACCAAGTTGGAGTTTGTTACATATTTCTAGCAATCACTTCTTTTTATTAACTATGTCATTTGGTGAGGATTCTTTTGTTTTTATTGTAATTGGTGCATAGCTGAATGCAGAGCTCTCTCTCTTTTTTTTTGGTTAATTCTGAAAAAGTCAAAAAGTGCTGCAGCAATGTTTATGTGAATATACCTATGAATGGACTTTTTGTAATGACCTGTGTTCTTTTTTGTCCTTTTGATGGTAAAAATATTCCAAGTATTGAAAGCTAGATTCTGGGAACTCGCAGATATGCTAGATCAATCTTCAGATGGTCATTCTGGCAAATGAGCCAGGCTCAGGAAATCAAGCTATGGGTTTTAATGTTCTTCCTAAACTCCCCGGGATTTTGAGAGAAGTCTTGCTCTTGGGTTTCAGTGTTGGAGACTAAATAGGATGATGTTTTGTTAAGAATTTTTTCTTATCCTCCACCTCTCAGCACAGTGCTTAATTTCATTTATTGTGTTGCAGACATGCTGTTAAGGGAGTGATGGGCTTTGCTTAGGAGAAGCATTTCATCTTCTGATTCCTGTGGGATCAGCTGTGTTCACTTGGCTAACAAGGCTGGCCAAAATAATTTTGCAGGACTATTATTCTCTAACCAAATGTTTAGCGACTATCCTTAGGGTATTGATTGCATGCTGTTTTCTAATTTTGAGGCTCTCCTAAAATCTTTGTCCCATTAAAGTAGCTCAGAGATACAGTCGGTGCTTTATGAGTTTTCCACTGTGAGACTTGAAATTGGCATTGCTGTTACTAGCAAGTTGTTTCCTGGACTTCATTCATGATAGGTCTCACCTTATTTTCTGGTTGGATGGCTATTTTTGTCTGTTCTACCACCGGCACCATTTAATCTGCTCAATAAATGTATTGCTTGGAGCTTCTATTTTTCACTCTCTACGTATGATGTTGGCTCTGCTCCTCAATAAGTGATTTAACTTAGGCTACGTAGCAGATTGAATGGTGCTTGGATTGACTGAGGAAATATTTACATTTATATAGTTACCCTAAATACAATGCCGATAGCTTCTCAGCCCTCTCATACTCCCTGAATATAATACTTCATGAACAAAAGTACTGCATGCCTAGTTCTCTAGCAATTTATTTGAAATTTTTCTGCGCTGATGATGTTCCTGTAATTATGTTTCAAAAGGTTTGTCAGATCATCTTCTACTCCTGTGATATTCATAGTTTAATTATCTGTAAAATTTTGTTCTCTTTTAGTAACTTGCTGCAGTTCGCTGCAGGGCTTGGTTCGACTTTAATGCGAGTAATGGAGCAGATTGCTGCTATTTCAAGATCTCTTAATTGCTATAATAGTTTTAAACATCCATGCTGGTCTGATTTATGTTTATATGATCAATTGGATTAGGACTTGACTTTTTCTTCATAGGTTTCGACCCAATGAAGTGTTTGTCTCGGTTTATGTCTTTCCCCCTCTCACTCTCCTTGTATTAAGGTATTTGGAACTTTTTTTATTTTGTTTTACTGCAGACGTCACAAGGAAAAGAAGGATGACACAACAGAACCAGAGGCTGACCCTGAGCGGGATCAGAGAACAGTCTTTGCTTATCAGGTGTGTTTCTGTTCATGTTATTTGTCTGTCTTCACTTTCCATGCTTCAAGTTGCATCTTCCCAAAAATTTATTAGCTGAAACTTCTGTCTGATCATGGCAGCTCCCTCTAAGGGCAGATGAAAGGGACATTTTTGAATTTTTCTCTAGAGCTGGAAAGGTGAGAAATCTATTTAGTGCCATGTTTCTTACATGATTTTTCATGAGATTCTTTCTGGATATTTTTACAAAAGTATTTCTTCTCAATATCACATTAATTTATGAGCTCTGTTGATGATTTGTAGGTTCGAGATGTACGGCTCATTATGGACCGTAATTCTAGACGTTCCAAAGGAGTTGGGTAAGCTTTTTATTATATTCGCCGTATAACTTGAAATTATGTATCTTTGTGGAACACTCATTGGTATTATTTTATTTGATATTATATTTCTTGGACATTCTAGATTTGTATCCTTCAATCAATCTATCAACTAGTTATTGAAACTTGGTTTTTACTGAGATACTCTGAAAGGTCAATCTGCAGTTGTGTAAGCTGAATTACTGGAAAATGGTTGTGTATGCTTTTTATAATATGAAGGGTGAGAAGGACTGCTTCATTATTATTATTATTATTTTTTTTTTTTTTTTTTTTTTTTTTTTTTTTGCTGCTAGTGCATCAATTCTCTACTTTAGGAACATCTCTGTGCTATTGGTTCAATTTCTAAAAACTGTTGTGATCTTGAGGTATGTAATATTCCTTCTGTTCAATTTTTGTAGAAGTATGGTATTGCTGTTGAAAAATGATGTACCTGCTAAATTAAAATAGTCTATGAATCTCCCATTAATTAAATGAAAGCATAGCAACAATTTTTTGCAGCTTAAAAATGATGTGGCAGTTACTTAGTTGTGAAGGTATATTTAGTTCAAATATGATGTGTTCATGAGTGTATATTTCTGTATCATTCTGCTTGTTTGGAGTGGGGAGGTGCACAAGGCAATGAACAGTTAATTTCATATGTGCAGCTATATAGAGTTCTATGATGTAATGTCAGTTCCCATGGCTATAGCACTCTCTGGGCAACTTATCCGTGGACAACCAGTCATGGTTAAACCCTCCGAAGCTGAGAAAAATCTGGTCCAGTCTACATCTTCTACAGCAGCAGGTCTTACTGTTTCAGGGGCAGCACGTAGGTTATATGTTGGAAATTTGGTTCCTAACATTACGGAAGAACAACTTCGTGTGGTAATAAATCCAGTTTCCTTTTCAGTATTTTGTGGTTCATGTTATTGCAAGGTTGTGGGTCTATATCCATATTTTATTTGATTTCTCACTTGTTCTTTGCTGTAATATTTGGTCTTCTTTTAATTCTCTGTCTATAAGAAAAATACCACTCTTTTAAAGAAGTAATAAACTGAATATACACTGTAGTTTTAAAGCTATACCATGAGTATATGTTCACTTGTTTTCTATATTTCTGAAATTTTGGAGATAGTTGATTGACAGCAGTTGCTATAGTAATGAAGAGTAACGAGAATAAAGATGGTATAACTGTTTGTGATTGAATGGGAAGTTTGAGAGCTTAAGCTGAATCAAGGAAATTTAGCAAGAATACAACTGCCAAGACACAAATTTGTACATAGTATAATGCTTTAATGATTTATTATGCCAATTTTGTAAAACTTGCTCTTTAAGACGACCAGAGAGCTAGGTGATTGGGTTGTGCCAGCTGGATAGCAGCTAATTTTACCACCTTGTTTGAAACACTGAATACCATTTAGCTAGAAATTACTAGACATTTCAAATAGGTCAGCCAGACCGGGTTGTGGTCAGTGAATCTAAAATTCCAGTTTTGGCATGCTTTTTTACATCATTATCTTACATAATCTTTAAATGTTTACTTAGGTTTGTCCAGGTTATTCTTGTTTGGGTAGGGTTTGCAATTTAGGTGCAGTTTTGTGCTATGTTTTTTAAGTGTACTTGTGAGTTGTCACAAGTTTTTTGTTCGTGTTGTATCTTTTGGGTGCTAATATAGATTTGAAATTCAGACCTTGTGTTTTCTTGTTTATTGACCATCTATCTATTTTATGATGTGTAACATTTTGGATTCTTGCCAGGTTTTTGAATCATTTGGGATTATCGAGTTGGTGCAGTTACCTCGTGATGAAGCAGGTCTTTGTAAAGGTTTTGCTTTTGTCCAGGTGAGCATATCTTATTTACTTATAGCAAAGTTGGTCTGTTTTGATTTATTAAACGATTGGCACAAGCATGTTACTTATCCTATTGACTGCTTAAAAATGCTAGATAAAAGACAAATGGTGGTGTCATTATTAATGTCTTAGTACTTTATGAGCGTTTTTACAATTTTATGTTCCTGTTCAAATGATGAAAGTGGTCACAATTGCAGTACCTTTTCCCTATCTTCCCTGTCACTCTCTTACTAGATGACATATATTGTCATGCTTCAAATTACTCCTCTTGTTGCTTCCTACTTGTTCTTTGTTGACTCTTATTGAGTTTGTTTTCATATATTGTTTTGGTTATTGTTATGTTTTGCAGTTTGCACGTCTTGAAGATGCTAAGGCAGCTCAAGTTCTAAATGGACAACTGGATATTGGTGGTCGGGTTATGAAGGTAATCTTAACAGCTCTTCTGTAGTTCTTACTGGTTGTAAATGTTATCTCATGTCTTATTTGTTGAATGGTTTTACTTTATGTTTTCCCAATTTATATGCAGAAACATGCTTATTATCATTAAAAACAAACATTAAATAATGTTTTTGCGGGTCTTTCAAAAGCAGCCTCATGAATAGTGTGGCTGTTTAGCATTTGGACCATCCCAAACCTCATCCTAATGAGATTTATACTAAGTTGTTTTTGTTCTTGTTGTAAGCCTTATGTGTTGAATGGCTACAAAGCATTGCAGTTGTGGTTGAAGTTGCGAGTGGACGATTGTGGTGCTTGATTTATCTTACTAAAATCCCATTGTTATTCTCATCTTTAGAGGAACATATATGGAAAGATTCAGTCAGTTTAGTGCCAACTTGTGGCACTTAAATCACATTTTTAGTTTCTTGTTTGGAGCTATTTCATTTGGCAATGAAGTGTTATGGACTTCTGGCTCATGCTTAGTTAGATATACTTGTATGAGGTTTTGTTATAGAAATTCCTGGATTCTTTGGAGTTCTTTCTGACCTTATTAGATTGATGATATTATAAATTTTGAAATCAAACCAAATTGATAAACATCCTTAATTTGGGTGGTTTGAATTGGGGCATGTATGACTATTGAGTGAAGTTTTGGAAATTGAAGAATGCCCTTTGTGAGAAGCGGATCTAGAAGCAGAAATGTTATTGAAATTTTCTGATGTTTTTGCTATTATGTGTTATTTAAAGACCTAGATTTCTGAATTTGTTTTAAATCTTTAAAAATGGGTAGCTGCCCATGACTCTTTTTCTTTGCGTCAAAAAGCAGTGTTAAATGCTAGGCTAAGCTGATACTATGTTTCTTGATGAAGTGACTTATTTGATGACTGCTAGATTTACATTTTAAATTTTGCTACCTGTTATTTCAGGTTTCAGCTGTCACTGATCAACCTGGAATGCAAGATGCAGGGGCAACTACTGGTGATTTAGATGATGATGAAGGCGGTGGCATGGTGAGTAGCTGTTTTTTTTGGTTTTCGGCTCCTTTTTGTTTTTTGTTTTTTTTGCTAATTAATTTTTTTTTAATTTTTTTAAATGTGAATCTTAGGATGTCTCTTAGAGGTTGCTTCCATCTTGAAACTCAAGTGGCTTAGCTCAATGCTTGTTTGAGACCAATGTTTAATGTGTTAAACATGTTCTGTGCAGTTTATGTGTGTAGCTAATACTGGCGAGAAATTTATCTAGCTAGTTCTTGGTTGTGTTTGTTACTGCTGCTGTCTTGACCTCTCTTTTTGCTCTCTCTGCATTTACAGCATCCCCCCCTCCCCCCCCCCTCCCGTCCGCTCTATCTCTGGTTTTGTTTGTCAGTCTGACTATTATGGTCACCGTTTGAGTGAGTGGATGGTAGGCTGGAGTACTGGAATCTATTTGGTTGTGTTGGTTGTGTACTGCTCACTTTTCCTCCATGTATAAATTTCATCCCGCTGCTGTAATCTACTGTCTCTGCTATTTTGGTTGCCGTTAGAGGAGCTTGTTTCTGCATTCTAGAGGAATAATGATGAGAGAGCCAAGGGGGTTTTGGAAGTAAGGGGAGCTGATTGTTGCATGTCTATTGCTAATGATATGGAGGCGAACAAAAGTTCTCTTTTGTTAATGAAAGGATACTAGGTAATCTAGGCATATGGTGTACAGTTATATGCAGTAGTTGTTGGACCTGTTTTGTGTTAGCTTGAATTGATATGCATTTAGCGTTCAGCTTTTTAGTTGTTAGCCATTGGGATCACTTAGCTCCGTATGATTGTTTGTTTTTGTTTTATACACTTAATCTCCCACCAGTCCACCACCCCTCTGAAAAGAAAAAAAAATAGATGAAAACAAAATGCTCATATAATATTTGACGTAATAAGTCTGAGGCCCTGAAATTGTGAAACCTTTATACTTGTAGAGCTAAGTAGTCTTTTCATTTCTTATTCTCTGTTCTTTCCCCCTAATATAGTTACTTTGTACCAACCATATTAGCTTACCAATCATTTATGCATTTGTTTGTATGAAATGGGGTTGTATACAGTCAAAATATGTTCCATCTGTTCACCTTATTTTCAAATTAGAACCAGACATTGATGATTTGATTTTCCTACTATTTCCAAAGGCTTTAAATGCAAGTTCTCGAGCGCTTCTCATGCAAAAGTTGGATCGCAGTGGCAATTCTACCGGGTTAGTATCTTTCAGTATTATTGGCCCAAAATCTAGTTTTTAATAACTCTAGTAATTTTAAGCGTTATCTCCCAAGTTGTGGCAATTTAAGTTGGTGGTATGCTTATTCGTCACGTTGTGGGAATTAGGTGTCAATATTCACTGTCAAAATAATAGTTTTCTGATCGATGTTTCTGTGATGCAGTGTTGGTGGTTCACTTGCCTCTTCAGCTGTTAATACTGGAGCTCTTTCTGTGGTTTCTGCACCAATGCCCGGGGTTGCTCCTGGAGTTTCTCCTCTCACACAGCCTTCTGTAGTTCCTCTTGGAGGATTGCCTGGTGCTGGTCTTTCTGCTCCCCTAGGCACTCTTTCAATGGCTGACACTATAGGTGTCCCCAGTGAGTGTCTATTGTTGAAAAATATGTTTGATCCAAAGCTAGAGGTTTGTACCAACTTCGTAATGGGGTTCTTGGAATTGCTAATATTTTAGTTGCTGATATTTTGCTTTCTTTCTTTCAGACTGAACCTGATTTTGATCTTGATATAAAGGACGATGTGCAAGATGAATGTGAGAAATATGGGCCTTTGAAGCACATCTTTGTAGACAAGTATGAACTTAAAAGTTTTTTGAGCGTGTTAAATGTCTGACACCTTTGGTTCTGTCTCTACTGGATAATGTCATGCTTTTGCCTATATACTGTAATAATACTTGGCATGAAATATAGCTGCGGTTAAAGGTCCTAAATTATGGATAGATTGTTTTTAACCATTGCCAACAATCACAGAATTTATTTATGCAACTAACGCATATGTGAATGTGGTAGTGTTGACGGTGCTTTCAAAATGCCTTAAAAGTGGAGTGTCAGCAGTCTTCGCACATTGTTGTTTTTTGGTTTTTTGTTTTTTTTCTTAGGCATTGTCTGTTTGCATTTCATGATTGGCATGTATTTGTTCAAAACAATGGCTTCTTGAAAGTATTTTGAGCGGATTAAGCATCTTGTTCAAGATGAGTTTCATCTTTCTGCTTTCTCACTTTGTTTCTTTATTTTCGGGAGCAGGAACACTGAAGGATTTGTATACTTGAAATTTGACAACACCCAATCAGCAATGAATGCACAACGCGCACTACATGGCAGATGGTTTGCAGGGAAGTTGATTAGTGCAACATACATGGTAAGTGTTTTTGTTATCCTTTGATCTTGTTCTAGGTGTTATTCATGGAATCCAATGCTGAAACGTTTAGTGTGTATTCTCGACGCAGCTACCACAAGATTACGAGGCTAAATTTCCGGAGAGCAGATGAGAAATTTTGTCGTGGACTTGCAGCTTTGGAAGATGATTGAAGTTGTATACGGGTACAGAGAGAAGGCCTGGGGGATTTTAAGTATCATTTTCCCTTTTTTAGGTAATCTTTGGCTGGTTGGCCTATTGGGTATCATAGCAAGTGCAGGTCCTGCAGGAGTACTTATTTATTCCCAAAAATGCAGTGGTATTAGATTGATAGGTTGGATTGTTATAAAAATGTTGCCGATTATTGTTTTTCAAAAAATTTGCTTAAGCATTTTTGTAGAATTCTAATACTTGTAACCAAGTCTTTGTTATCCTTAAATTTTGGATTACTGCCTTTTAGGTCTCAAAAACATGCAATATGTTACTTCCTATATGATACCTGTTTACGCTTATACCTTCCCACAAATCAGCCACATTAGTCATATATAGGGGTGGGACTTTTCAAACCGAACCGTGAAACCGCCCGTTACCAAACCGAACCATCACGGACCGATCCGTTTATAAACCGATAAATATAAACCGAAAACCGAACTGAACCGTTCAATATCAAACCGAAACCGAATTGAACCGCTCAATGTCAACCCGTTACGGACCGTAAACCGATAACAAACCAAACTGCGGAAATCCGAACCGAAACGAAACCGAACCGAATGGTTTATAAACCCGTTAATGACCCGAACCGTTTATAAACCGAAACCGTTTAAATCGAAAAAAAACCGTTTGAACCGAACCATTTGTAACCCGCTAACCGTTTAAACCGACCCGTTTATGGACCGAAACCGTTTAAACCGCACGTATAAACCTAACCGTTATAATCCGCTAACCGTCTAAACTGAACTGCCATAACCCGTTAAACCGTTAAAATCGAACTGTTTTCGAATCGCAACCTGTTTAAACTGATCCGATTACAAACTGCTTAATTCAAATTGAATTATTTACAACCTAAATGGCTAAATAGTAAATACAATTAATGTTAATAAATGTAGATCTAATCAAACGGCTTAGGTTTATACAAATATATCACCTAGATCTAGGCCAACGGCATTATTAATATCGTTTTAGATTACTTATTTATTTTTTATTACAAGATATATCATTTGTATCATTTTCATTCCAGTAATAATGCTAGTCCACCCAAATTATCTTCATTGTTCCTTGATATTCATGATCATCCAATAACACTCAAAGCCTCAAAGATAACATAAGATTGGAGATGTATGAGATTGCGTTACACAAGTGGCATAAGCATTAGAATATTACTGTACTAGTCAATAAGGCGTACAATCATTCACATTATCACTTTATAAAACTTTCTTATACAAGTATTTTGCAAAGGGGAGGACTAAAATGTTTATAAAACACATTTTTTTAGCTTTTCTTAAATTAAACCAGATATTAAGTAAAAGAATTTTAATAAATACGGAGGCATCCCAAATCTGTAATCGTACATTAGTATTGCATATGATTTCATCACCACTTTAATTAGTGATTTCGTGATTTCGTCCATTTAACTTATTAAGTTGTTTGAGTTAGTAATCTAAATAAAGTAACAAACTAAATAACGAATCCTTTTAATCTCGTGTAAGTTATAATTTATAAGAAATGCAATGTTTGGAAATGGAAATTGATTCAATACGATATTGTTAATGTATATGTAATTATAGATTAATTATTATGTATATCATATCGTACGAATGTACGGTTGGTATCATTATCATACTATCATAAGTATCATTGTCTCATTGAATTATTGGTATGTACTACAATCGATAAACATATTTACATATCTGATTATTAAAACTTAAAAGTTTAAAACACTTGTTGATCAATCTAATTGAATACTTATACATTCTTAATTATCGATTTATCATATTATAAGTATCAACTCATTAAATCATGGTCATGACGCGATCTTTAAAACAATCATGAATTCATGACCCAAACCGCTTATAAACCGAACCGACATGATCCAAACCGTTCATAAACCGAACCAATTGAACTGTGTAAATCCTCTACTAAACCGGCCCATTTCAAACTGAACCGACATGATTCGCACCGTTTATAAACCGAACCGATATTGACCCGGGTAAATCCGCTCCCAAACTGACCTATTTCAAACCAAACCGGCTTGATCCAAACCGTTTGTAAACCGAACTGACATTGGCCCGGGTAAACCCGCCCCTTAAACCGACCCGTATCAAACCGAACCGACATAATCCGAATCGTTTATAAACCGACCCGCTTATGACCCAAACCGAATTTAAACCGCAAAGAAATAAACCAAAACCAAACCGAGCCGTGACTAACCCAAACCGAACCAAACCAACCCGCCAGCTAAACTAAACCGTTTCAATCCGAACCGCTCCAAACCGAAACCGACTCAAACCGAGGTCAAACCGAACCGCCAGACCGAAGTCCCACCCCTAGTCATATAGATATACTTTTGCTCGGTCGTGCATCATATACTCAATATAAATTACAGACTATCATAAATTAATAGTAGTATATATACGGGTATACAAAAAATTGGATTGGTTTTGACTTTTGAAGTATTTTCTACGATCTGAAATTTTTTGTCCGATAGGATAATTGGCTTTCTACACCCCCCTGATTTACTTCTCTCAAGGCTGTTCTATAAACTGAGTAACTGACAATATAAGGGGTATCACATATTTATTGTTGTAAATGAGGTGATCCTTTGTCATCTCTGGGCCTCCTCTCGCTTAGGCATTTATATCCGTTTAATACCGCTTATATATATATATCGTTTAATACCTATCTTACCCGTCTCATACATAGAGTTGTTTTGTTAAATACGAAGTACTTGTATTAAATAACCGAAACAATTTAAATTGGTAGAATTCAGAGTGGATGGGGATGAAAGCGATGCACCCTAATATCTACGCCTGCCTTGCCACCTCATCAACTATCAGACCTTCACTAAGCTGTAGACAGTTAAAGAAATGTGACATCAGGAATGAGATAATCAGTCTCTCAATTCCTTTGTCTAATTGTCTGGTCGAAAAATTTATCCATAATATTATAATAAATGATCAGCTGCTGTCTGAAGGCGTGCTATAGATAATGAGGTGTTTAAAGAACAAGAAAACACAAGTCTGAATTCTGAAACAATGGGTGTAAATGAAAACATTGTTATTGTTGGAGGTGGCATTGCAGGCCTCTCTTTGGCATTAGCTCTTCACAGGTAAAACATACTCACATCTCCGATTACGATTTTCAATTCTTTTACTCTTTTTATAATTTAGAAAGACCTTTTTATAATTACATCTTGATTTACATAGTATAACTTTTTAAGGTTGGGATTGAAGAGTTTGGTTCTCGAATCCTCTGATAGTTTGAGAGTAAGTGGTGCTGCATTTGTTACATGGACTAATGCTTGGAATGCACTTGATGCACTTGGTGTTGGTGACTTGCTTCGTTCACAACACTGCCGGCTCTCCAGGTGAACACTGCAACATTCTATCTCTTGCTCTTTTTGCGTGTATGTACGGAGTCAAATGTACGCAACCTTATACTTTGTAACGGAGCATGGGTTTGATATCAAGATTACATATCCATACTTAATATTTGTTAAAGTGTTGTACCTCCATCTTTTTAAAGTGCACCACTTTTCATAATCAGTTGGTTTTCTTAAGTGCACTATTAGTTTTCCCCAAAATAAAGAGTTTGAAGTAATTGATTGCTAAATGACATGGTTCAGGATCACTGTAACATCAGCAGCATCAGGGGTTCCAACAGCACAACTTTCATAGTAAGTACTCGTAATCCTATATTTCTGCCTATGTATTTAGTCAGTAAAATCATAAATAATTTGCATGCTTCTCATTTATATTGTATTACATGCTTATAAGAATGATATGTTTGGCCAGCGGAAACCATGAAGTAAGGTGTGTGAAAAGAAGAGTCTTGTTAGAAACTCTTGCAAACGAGTTACCAAAGGAAACAATAAGGTACTCGTCTAAGGTGGTTAGCATCCAAACATCAGGCCATTTAAAGCTGCTTCATCTTGCTGATGGTTCAGTCATTACGACGAAGGTATATTTCTTAAGCTGAACACATAACTTGTTACTTTGATATTTGGTCTAAAATTTAAATCAGCATTATAAGCATCTTGACAAATGCATCTTTTTCTGGAAGGTGGTGGTTGGGTGTGAAGGAGTAAATTCTGTTGTAGCAAGATGGCTTGGATTCAATCAGCCGTCCTTCACCAAGAGGTTCGCTATTAGGGGTTACGTTCATTTACAAGAAATTCATAGCCTAAACCCGGAATTTATGCAGTTCACTGGGCATGGTTGTCGATATGGGATCATCCCTTGTGATCCCACTAGCATTTACTGGTTTTTCACTTTCAATTCATCCAACCAAGGTATTCTATTCCACTGTAGTAAGCAGTAAGCAAATTGATTTTTCATGTAAGTCCATTTCCTTGGTAAATATGACACTCACTTATAATATGTGCACTTTAATAGATGAAGAAATTAAAGAAAATCCCATGAAAATGAAGCAATTTGTGATGAGTAATTTGGGACAAGTACAAGACCAGATAAAGGCTATTATCGAGAAGACTGCAGTGGAGGACATCATATGCTCTCCTCTAAGATTCAGGCCTCCATGGGAGATAATTTGGGGTGATATAAGCAAAGATAATGTTTGTGTTGCAGGGGATGCATTTCACTCGATGACCCCTGACATAGGTCAAGGTGCGTGTGCTACTTTAGAAGGCGCGATTATTCTTGCAAGATACCTTGCTGAGGCAATTTCAGTGAGCAAGTCAGTAGAGCAGGAGAATTTGGAAGTAGAAGAATACAAGAAGATTCAGACAAGCTTGATGAAATATGCTAAGGATAGAAAATGGAGAGGCGTTGACCTTGTTACTACAGCATACATAGTAGGTTTCCTACAACAGAGTGATGGTAAGGTGGTGAGTTTTTTGAGGGACAAAGTAATGGCGTCATTTTTAGCTAATTTGCTGTTGAAGAAGGCTGATTTCAATTGTGGACTGCTCTGAGAATACATAATATAGTTTATCATGTGATTATATGCTCTTTTTGTTTGTTTAGTCGCGTAAATGAATAAATCTGTGAGTCTGTATGTACATGTCTGGTTCCGAAAAAATTATATTGAATGGAAAAAGAAATGAGCTTTAGTTAACCTCATTTTTTAAAAAGTGCACTCTATATATTCTGCCTAGCTTCAAGAAATTAGTGTAGCAAAAAAAAAAAAAAAAAAAAAAAAAAAAAAAACTTGTAAAAGACTGATCATCAAAGTTGAATTTTTGGTTCTCCCATAAACTGTAAGGCCTTTTTAATGATAATGTTTTGACAGTCTAGAAAACAGTAAATCAGTAAAAACATCAAATTAACTCAAAATTATCTTCTGACAATATATGATGTATTATAATAATCTATTATAGGAGCAATCAAATATTGATATCTATTAATTAATTTTGACCACCTTAAAGATGCCTTGCCTTTTCTTAGTTTAGTGGCTCATCAGTCCCATTCCCACATGTTATCCCCTGCTTTTTCTGTATGATGAACCGATTATATTTCCTTAATATTAAGATTGATGTAAACTATAGTATACGAATAAAATGTGATTAAATGAGATTAAACTATTCATAAACATATTAATAAAACGAAAAGATAGCCTGAATCAATTCATTTAGGTTGTCATATTTGACTATTTGTCAACAAAAGCATCTACTCTATATAAAAAATATGTTTCTGTACATGTATGTAACTGTTCCAGCCAGCCATGTGAGTGCGCCGCCCTAAACGATGTACCATATCTAATCATTGTTCATATATATATATACACACACACACATATATATATATATATATATATATATATATATATATATATATATATATATATATATATATATATATATATATATAATATAGAGTTCAATATTTATCTCAAAAATTGCAAAATTTTGTGAAAGATGGAGATACACACAGATATTGTCATTGTTGGAGCTGGAATATCTGGTCTTGCTACAGCTTTAGCTCTTCACAGGTAATGAATTTTGTGTGACTCGTTCAACCCCGTGCATTAAATGGCCACTTTATAGATGGTTGTTGTCAATGGAGATATATGAGTCGTTTTAATTTAAACATGTAGTTCTTTATTATTCCTGAAATTTCACCTTTGAGCAAACTGAAGATATGCAGTTTTACTGAACTAAAGTTGAAAGAGGAGTAACTAAAAGATACTTGTTCATTTGGTTTCTGTATGTTTATATTTTCTTTCATGCAGGTTGGGAATTAAAAGCTTGGTGTTGGAATCATCAGATACCCTGCGAGCAGCTGGGATCGCGTTTACAACTTGGACTAATGCTTGGAGGGCTTTGGATGCACTTGGGATCGGGGATTCACTCAGGCAACATCATGGCCCGTTATTTGGGTAACTACATATACATGTTTCAATCTGATTTTCTTACCTTAACTACATATACATGTTTCAATCTTTGCAATAAAATGGTTGCAGGATATATACTTCATCTACGGTTACAGGAGACTTGACTTCTTATGTTTCATATACAAACAAGGGAAAACAGTAAGTTTAGATGTCTTTCCTTTTTCTTAGCGGTTGTTTCACTTTGAATTATATTGTTTTACTGAATGTTAAGAGAATGTACAGTGGAGATCATGAAGTTCGATGTGTGAGACGGAAAGCCCTACTAGAAGCGCTTGCAAAAGAATTACCAAGTGACACCATAAGATATTCTTCCAAGGTGGCTTCTATAGAAGAATCAGGCTTAATAAAGCTAGTGCACCTTGCGGATGGATCCACCCTAAAGGCCAAGGTATTAAGGCTGCACATATTACTTCGTAGTTAGTTCCATTGTAACTATATGTGTGGTAAAATTATCATGAACCAAAAACCAAACATAAGTCTCATTGATTTTTAAAGTTACTAGCACCTTGTTATCCCTCATGAAGTCATGAATGTTAATGATGATTAATTGTATGCAAAATGACACATAAGGTAAAGCTAAAATGTCAAATGCTGTCACTTCAATGCACATTGCAAATGACACTCTGAAGTCTGAACTGGTTTATAAGAAGAGTGTAGTTTTTGCAGTTATATATGGTTTTGTGAATTGTGTTTGAAAACCTCTAGTAACTTAGTAGGCTAGGATGCATTTCGATTATTGGTTGATCCTTATTTTCATCAGAATTATTTTGAAACTGACATTCTTGTCCCCTGTATTTCCTTAATTACATGTTTTAATCTTAGATATGAGAAAATATAACCAAGTTAATAACATGGCTAACAGGCTTCTAATGTTGTTTACACAAACAGGTACTGTTGGGGTGTGATGGAGTGAATTCAGTGGTGGCAAAATGGCTCGGATTCAAGAAACCATCATTGACAGGAAGATCAGCTATAAGAGGTTGTGCATACTACAAGGAAGGCCATGGTTTTGAGCCTAAATTTCATCAATTTGTGGGAAATGGTGTTAGATATGGCATCATTCCTTGTGATGACACTGCTGTTTATTGGTTTTTGACATGGTCTCCATCTTCTGAAGGTATACAAATGATGATTATTAGTACTCCAAAACAAGCTATATAATGAAATTCACTGTTAATTTAGTTAGCCTATACACATGATATCATTTTAATTTCGTAACTCCAAATAATATGAAAGAAATGATTGCCAAAAAAAAGCTGAGACTTAAAATTTGACTATGATTTAACAGAAAACAAAAATCTGCAAGAAGCTGATCAACTGAAGCTGAAGCAATTTGTGCTAAGTAAACTTGGGAAGGTGCCTGACCAAATAAGGGCTGTGATAGAAGACACAAAAGTCGAAGAAATCGTAGGTTCTCCACTAGGATATAGGCCTCCATGGGAGATCCTATATGGAAACATAAGCAAAGACATTGTATGTGTAGCAGGTGATGCATGCCACCCTATGACACCAGACTTAGGCCAGGGAGGGTGTTCTGCTCTAGAAGACGGGGTCATTCTAGCAAGATGCCTCGCTGATGCCTTGGTAGATCATGAAAATGAGGATCAATATCAGAGGATAAAGAGTGGACTACAAAACTACGCGAAGACGAGGAGATGGAGAGCGTTTGATCTCATTAGTACAGGTTATGTGCTGGGTTGGATACAGGAATTTGATTGGTTTGGTATGAGGATTATAAGAGAGAAATTTCTTTCTGCATATCTTTCTGGGTTGTTTCTTAAGAAGGCTGATGTTGATCCTAAACAACTTGTGCTCAAATTTTAAAGTTCATGAAATGAATATTCTGACTATATTCTGCATAACTTGTAGTTTACAATGTTGTCTTCAAGATTGTTGTCTGTTTTTATTGAAGGTTGAATCTGTTGACTTCTATTGTCAGTATTTTTCAAATGTCAACCTAATTGTTTGTGTTAGATTTATGTCTTGCCATCTTTATTGGTGAAAAATACTAGTTTCTAAACCCTTTATCTAAATAAGTTTTTTTTGTACGTACTAGTGCATGGGGGTCGTCCACCCCTCGTTATTTTTCCTTTTTAGCATTGTTAAGGAAGCATAACACGAGTTTGACAGTAAGATACACTAGTGGAAGTGTTAGTGATTCGATGATAAATGTTAGTCTAAAATTACCAAATACAATTAACACTACGGAAGAAAAGTGAACTAAACTTTTAACACTGCGGAAGATTTTTCAAATTATATTACTAAATACTATTAAAACATACTCCGTAAAATGGCTGGTTAAACTCTCGTGGAGTTGTGGGTGGTAATCATGATTAAAAATCAAATTTCGTCACATCATTGCATCCGTAAATCTCTCCGCACTAAGCCACTAAGATCAAATCCGTTTATATTCATTGTAGGCATACAAACACTGAATAAAGCTGATAGACAGACAAATCTTACAGCTTACAAACCCTAATTAAGCCAAAAGAGGAGCACAGAATAAGATGGAAAGAAATTCAACAGAAATCCGAATTCATGAAAATTCCCAATTCTCAACTCTTTATTGCCACCTTCAACAGCACTTATGTTACTGTAAGTCCTACTAGTGCTACTTTTATTTTTCTAGGGTTCTTTCAATTTACTCATAAATTATTATTATTATTTTATTTTATTTTTTAAAATTGATTTCAGTTGTTAATTTAGTAAGAAATTTTAGGCTTTTAGCAATTTTGGTCTAACTTTTTCATATATTCATTCTGCAATTGTAAGACTGGAGACCAATTTAACCTTTGAATTCGACAAATAACACTAGCTAAAATTAATCTGAAAAGTTAATTGAATGTTATACGAAATTGGTAGTAGAAGTGGCAATAATTTGATATTCAATAATTTTGATTTGCTCATGATTTCTTTGCGGTATTATTAAAATCTTATTACAGAAATTGATAAGATATGAGATAATTGGCTTTATTCAACAATGTTTAATGTACAATACAAGAACATTAGTTGATGGCAACCTGGATCAAACCATCTTGTTTGCCAAAGAAAGCGTTCTTTGTTTCAGTCATTACAAGCTTGGATCCTCAGGTAACGTACCGATCTTTGTACGGGAAACATTGACATGATCATCTCATATTCTTAGGAAATCTTCGAAAGACATGCTAATTTGCAAGACGAGGTAAAAGGAAGATGAAGATTGTTTCAGAAATCGTTATTGTTGGGGCTGGAATATCGTCTTGCTACAGCTTTGGCGCTTCACAGGTAATATTATTGGTTTGTTATAGTCACCTGTGTAGTTGGTATCCGTGAGTGGTAATTGTGAAATTAAAAGGATTGAAGAACAGGTCTACTGATGAAGAAATACATTCAAGTTGTTCCTTCTAAATCACCCTTAAATTCATTATCATTGCCTTTATACCTTATACGTAGAAATAGTAAGCAATCCGAAATTCCCACATCCACATTTTATATTTTCCAAGGGGATGGCAACTTTTATGCTATTTAGTTCGTGGATGATAATGTTTGTGCAAGATTCAATTAGTTTGTGGATGATGTTTGTGTTGTTCATCATACATTTTACCTCATGTTGTTGAGGGAGTACAAGAACTTTACATCATTCTAAAAGAAGATGACATGCATACAACAATAATCAATAAGCTCGAAATAATGTGCAAGTAATAAACATATTATTCCATATACTCTGTAATTGCAAGTAAACATTTGCATTTTACAATTCCACAATTTGTAAGGTATGGTGGAAAGTGAGGAGAGACTGGCTGTAAGTAATTAGAGAAAAATTTATGGAACTCTGTGGAAACGTAGAATACTCGTAAATAGAAACTAAAATTGATAAGTTAGTCACTTAGTTGGATATTTAACAATTGCAATCGTGGTGATTAAGCTAGATTATTGTAGGAGCAGAAATAGTTGATATTCAAACATCCAGTTCTGAGTTCTGACCATATTAATAATATCAGCTTATATTTTAAGATTTAATATCACTAGATTATGATTATGACTTTACTAGTTTAATGGCTCATCAGTACCACTTGCCTTAACTGGATTAAGTCTAACTGAAAAAATTGATAGGAAATTAGACAATTGCCTTTGTTTCATGATGTTTAATATATAAGATAATAATGTTCTGTAGACTAATAATACAATACAAAGATGCTAGTGCTAATAGATGGCGACCTGGATCAAACCATCTTAGTTGCCAAAGAACTCGTCCATTGTTTCAGTCAAATTGTGCTTAACTTTCCGGTTAATGTACTGATATAAGTACATACAGGAAACATTGACATGATCATCTCATATCTGTAGGAAATCTTCGAAAGGCTGTCTTTTTTTGCTAATTTGCAAGAAAAGGTACAAGGAAGATGGAAATTGTTTCAGACATCGTGATTGTTGGAGCTGGAATATCTGGTCTTGCTACTGCTTTAGCACTTCACAGGTATATATTGGTTCATTATCACTCTTAAGCACCTATTAGATTATAATCTGCGAGTGGTGATTTTGAAAATGAAAGAACTGAGAAAAGGTCTGCTAATGAAAAATTACATTGCCGTTCCATGTTCCATCTATATATATTACCCTTACAATTTTTGTGCCTTATATGGAATAGTAAACAAGCCGAAATTGCAACATCCACGCTTTTTCCTCCTTAAGGGGATTTCCACTTGTATGGTTTCATACAGTCTGATGAATGGGGAAGAAAAGAAGGGAAGAAAGCATTCTTTACTTCACTTGATTTTTTTCCCTTCTTATTTGCAGGCTGGGAATAAAGTGTTTGGTGTTGGAATCAGCAGATATCCTGAGAGCAGCTGGGATCACTATTACAGTTTGGACTAATGCTTGGAGGGCTTTGGATGCTCTTGGGCTCGGTGATTCACTTAGAAAACAGCATGACCAGCTCGTTGGGTAACTACATATACGTTCCGCTCCACGTGCTTAATGGGATATAGCTGCTTAGTTTGTTTATAATTTCAATTGATCTGTTTTCCTAAACTTCAGTCTTTTAGCATAAAAGGTCATGATGATATCTCTGTAATTTTATGGGTGCAGGATATGTTGTTCATCTTTAGTTACAGGAGATTTGACTTCAAATGTTTCATTAACAAGCAAGGGGAAATAGTAAGTTAAAAGTAATATATAGTTTAATCTACCTTTTTTATTTCCCTATTGATTCACTTGTATCAATAGGGTCCTTACTTCTTAGCACTGAAATAATGAACTATGAGAACTGCAGTGGAGATCATGAAGTTCGCTGTGTCAAACGAAAGGTCCTACTAGAAGCGCTTGCAAAAGAATTACCAAGTGACACAATAAGGTATTCCTCCAAGGTCGTTTCTATTGAAGAATCAGGCTCCTTGAAGCTTGTGTGCCTTGCTGATGGGTCTACCCTTAAGACCAAGGTAATAATAATGCCGAACATTTTACTTGTCCGAGATTTTCAAAGGACCAAACATAAATTGACAGAATTTTGTAATTCCACCAATATATAGCTCCAAATTGATTTCAGAAAACCAACCTTGGATTTTAAGGTGGTCATTGATCTCTAATTTGGTTTCATGATTTGGTTTCGGAATATTATTGAGATATTAGAAAATGTAGGGAAGATTGTTAAGATGGCAAATTAGTTTTTGATGTCATTTTAAATGAACAGGTATTGATTGGGTGTGATGGGGTGAATTCAGTGGTGGCAAAATGGTTAGGATTCAAGAAACCAGCATTGTCAGGAAGATCGGCTATAAGGGGTTTTGCATACTACGAGAAAGGTCATGGTTTCAAGCCTAAATTTCAGTTGACAATGGGAAATGGTGTTAGATATGCTATCGTTCCCTGTGATGACAATGCTGTTTATTGGTTTTTGACCTGGTCTCCATCAGCTCAAGGTAATTTTTGGCGGTATTGCCTAATATACATTTTTTAAATCTTTATCTAGAAGCTGATCAATTGAAGCTAATGCTTTCTTGTCAAAAAAAAATAAAAAAAAAAAAAAAAAAATAATTAAATAAAATTGAAGCTAATACGTAGTATATGGTTAAGCTATCATTTAAAGTTATCTTAGCTTTAAAAATGACTTTAAAAGACAATGTATGCCAAAGGCTCAAAGATGTGGTCAAGCTGAGACACTTTATATAACTGAGTGTCTGGTTAAATGTGCTGTAGCTGATGACTGATGTAACAGAAAACAGGAAACTGCTAGAAGCTGATCAATTGAAGCTGAAGCAATTTGTGTTGAGTAAACTTGGTAAGGTACCTGAGCAAATAAGTGTGTTGATAGGAGACACCGGAGTAGAAAAAATTGTACGTTCTCCAATAGGATATAGGCCTCCATTGGAGGTCCTATTTGGAAACATAAGCAAAGACAATGTATGTGTAGCAGGCGATGCATGCCATCCAATGACACCAGAGCTTGGCCAGGGAGGGTCCTTAGCTCTAGAAGACGGGCTCATTCTAGCAAGAAGTATTGCCAATGCCTTTCTAGATAACTCAATTTCTCAGAGGAGATTAGGCTGTGAAAATGAGAATGACTCTGACAGGATAAAAAACGCATTAAACAATTATGCAAAAAAGAGGAGATGGAGAGCATCTGAACTGATTTTTACAGGTTATATGGTGGGTTGGATACAGGAGTCTGATTGGTTTGGTGTAAGGTTTTTACGAGAGAATTTTCTTTCTGCGTATTTATCGGGGTTGTCTCTTAAGAAGGCTGATGTTGATCCTAGACAACTAGTGCTTGAATGTTAGGTTTCATGGAGACAGTATTCTCTGCAAGCCTTATGTAATATTCACAAGATTAGTGGCTTGAACTTATTGAACCTTAATTACTTTGTTGACCTCAAGTAGCGCGCTTTTCGTTGATTAATCTTCAATTTATACAACTGTAGTCTAGCTGATTGCTGGCTGAATCTGTTTGAAGAGTATTTTGTTGACTTAAATTGGATCATGGATGACATTTTTGTTGTTGGTCATACAATTTACCTTAGGGCCTCAGACACTGATCAACGTTCATGTGCTACTTCTTAATAAAATTGAGCAAATTGTTTGGTACCTGATCCGAATTTCTGCGTTCCTAATTTGAAATAACCGTAGATCATGAATCAACTGTGAACTCAGATATACGTAGTACATTATACGGAGTAATCATTCTACAGTTACAGGAGACTTCTTATGTTTCATATACAAACAAGGGAAAACAGTAAGTTTGAAGTATTTGTTTTAGATGTCTTTCCTTTTTCTTTGCGGTTGTTTCACTTTGAATTAAGATGGTCTTACTGAATGTACAGTGGAGATCATGAAGTTCGATATGTGAGACGGAAAGCCCTACTAGAAGCGCTTGCAAATGAATTACCAAATGACACCATAAGATATTCTTCCAAGGTGAAGAATCAGGCTTATTAAAGCTAGTGCACCTTGTGGATGGATCCACCCAAAAGGCCAAGGTATTAAGGCTGCACATTTTACTTTATAGTTAATTCTGTTGCACCTATATGCGTAGTAAAATTATCGTGAACCGGAAACAAAACATAAGTCGCATTGATTTTTAAAGTTACAAGCACCTTGTTATCCCTCGTGATTGTCACGAATGTTAATAAATTGTATACAATAGTACAAATTGACACATAAGGTAAAGCTAAAATGTCAAATGCTGTCATTTCAATGTACATTGCAAATGACAATCTGAAGTCTGAACTGGTTTATAAGAAGAGTATTTTTTTTTAAGTCATGGAAGCTAAGGTTTTGTGACTGAAAACTGTAGTAAGCTAGGATGCATTTCGGTTATTGGTTAATGATACTTATGTTTATCAGTATTTTTTAAAACTGACATTCTTTTCCTATGTATTTGCTTAATTACATGTCTTGATCTGAGATATGAGAAAATATAACAAAATTAATAACATGGTTAACTGGCTTCTGATGTAGTTTACAAAAACAGGTACTGTTGGGGTTTTGCATACTACGAGAAAGGCCATGGTTTATAGCCTGACTTGGTTCTGAGTAAACTTGGGAAGGTGCCTGACCAAATAAGAGCTGTGATAGAAGACACAAAAATTGAAGAAATCGTACGTCGCCACTAGGATAAAGGCCTCCATTGGAGATCCTATATGGAAACATTAGTAAAGACAATGTATGTGTAGCAGGTGATGCATGTCACCCTATGACACCAGACCTAGGCCAGGGAGGGTGTTCAGCTTTAGAAGACGGGGTCATTCTAGCAAGATGCCTCGCTGATGCCTTGGTAGATCATGAAAATGAGGATCAACATCAGAGGATAAAAAGCAGGCTACAAAACTACGCGAAGATGAGATGGTGAGTGTTTGATCTCATTAGTACAGGTTCCATGCTGGGTTGGATACAGCAGTTTGATTGGTTTGGCATGAGGATTATATGAGAGAAATTTCTTTCTGCATATCTTTCTGGATTGTTTCTTAAGAAGGCTGATGTTGATCCTAGACAGCTTGTGCTCGAACATTAAAGTTCATGCTTTACTTGCCTTTTTCTTCCTATAATTTTTATTGTGTATAATATTGTCTTCAAGATTGTTGGTTGAATTCATTGAAGGTTAGTTCTGTTGACAAAATTTTCAAGTGTCAACTTAATTGGTCGTTTTATATTATGTGCAATCTTTGTGTCGTTTCATATTATTTTGGGTGTAGAGAGAGCCGCAAGGGCAATGTTGTAGACGGAATTTGATCTCAGGTCTTAAATCACTCATAAAACTTCACCAAGCTAGTTGGCATCCACATACAACTTAGTATTTTTTTTTAAATTATTGAGTTACAATACAATTAAGACCTAAAGAATTCACGTATAATTATAGTATTTTAAAAATTTATAAGCTATCATTAAACTCCTCAAAATTTGTAAACGATTAGTACAAAGGAAATTGTGTACAACTCTGCATCATAGCAATCATTGTACAAAAAGGTGACATGCATGAAACAATAATCTATAAGCTCATAAAGTCCTAATCTTTCCAAAAAATCTATAAGTTCATTATAATATGGGACAAAAATTCCCAATTTATGGGCATTGTTCATATTTATACCAACATACTCATCCCTGTATTACCCACCTTCACCCACAATTATGTCTCTCAGTCTGCAAGTTTTGCTACTTCTTAATAAAATTGAGCAAATTGTTTAAAGTAATCATTAAAATAACTGCAGGTTATGAATTTCTGCGTTCCTGATGATTTGAAGTAACTGCAGATTATGAATAAACTATGAACTTCTCTGATATACATTATATAGAGTAATCATTAAGGGAAGAAAACCTTTTACTCTCAAGAAAGAAGTATCCAAAATCAAAGTTGCTCAACATTTGACCTCTAAAAAAGTGCAAATTACATGTTATTTTAGTTCTTGAGGTTGTCAAACGCACAGCTTTAACTATCTATGACTTTAATTATTATAGATATATTGAAAATATACATTGAGATTAACAATTAAAATAATGACATTTGTTTTCAAATATTAGTTACAACAAGTGGTTAAGGTTAGAATATAAATAGTGCGAAAGTTCTAACAAAAAACCTTGGGCTTTTACTTGTCAAAAGTTTCAACATAAGTCGACTAATTGCTGAATTTGGCATGGCTCACATCACTAATTGATGAAATTAGCAACATGTGTCGAATTAGTCCAATAAGCAGAAGGTAACGAAGTAACACTGACTGCTACATTTATCAAGTTGAGCCACCTTGGTTGACTAAATTTCATTTATATATAACTGTAAATATACTGGCATTGTATCATCTCATGTTTGTACATATAAATTTCTGTAAAATTGTTTATTTTGATTTTGCTAGAGTAGATTGAGAAGGAAGATGGAGGTGAACACAGATATTGTCATTGTTGGAGCTGGAATATCTGGCCTTGCTACAGCTTTGGCTCTTCACAGGTACATGGAGTGTTATTCGGCATATTACTAACTTCGCCTAAATTAGTTGTCATGTTATATCCTATTTACTTCACCTTAAAAAAAAAAATCAGTAAAAATAAGTTCAGTTTAGTAAAATAAGTTCAATTTAGTAAAATAATTTTAGTTCAATAAAAATCAGTAACTCCAAGGAAGAAATTTAACTAAGAATCAGTAAAAATAATTTCAGTTCAACAAAAATAATTTCAGTTCAATATTGATTTAGTATTGTTTAGTTCTATTTTACTCGGACTCTCCAATTTATAGTACTTTTGTCAAATAGTCAAATAGATCCTCCTCACTCTAAAATGAGTGTGGAACTACTATGGACCCTTGGACTTTTATTTTGGACCAAAATATAGAAATGTATTGTTGAAAAGGCTAGTCTAACTCTTAGACATGGGTACCTGACTCCGAGTAACATTGGTTTCATCATTTTGTTTTGCTTCCCTTAACTTCAACCATAAAAGTCATGAAAGATGTTTTTCTTAACTATATCTCTTCATGAATTGGATGCAGGGTATCTTCTACATCCTCAGTTACGGGTGAATTGACTTCATATGTTTCATTTACAGAGAAGGGAAAATAGTAAGTTTGTCTTCACTTACTTTCATTATTTTCACCTTGTTTGGCTTACTGAAAAGTAAAGAAAAAAAGCAGTGGAGATCATGAGGCTCGCTGTGTGAGACGGAAGGCTCTCCTAGAAGCGCTTGCAAAAGATTTACCAACTGGTACAATAAGGTACTCCTCCAAGGTGGTTTCTATAGAAGAAGCAGGCTTCTCAAAGCTTGTGCACCTTGCCGACAGTTCCATTCTTAAAACCAAGGTATTGAAACTGAGCATTAATAAGGACATCTACAAGAGTTTCATATCCTTTCATTGCGCCTTTTGTTACCATCCAACAGATGGGTAGTTAAGGTTGAGTTTAGAAGTCATATATAGTTATTTATAAGAAACTTAATGCAACATTATAGTGGTTTGCTATTATTGTTATCTTATTGATCCTTGTAAAAATTCTGACATTTATGTCCTGTGTCTTCATGGTTACATGATTGCAAGGAAGCTCTTACGATGGCTAACAGATTTCTAATATCATTTTTCACAAACAGGTATTAATCGGGTGTGATGGGGTGAATTCAATGGTGGCAAAATGGCTAGGATTCAAACCACCATCACTGACAGGAAGATCAGCTATAAGGGGCTGTGCATATTACAAGGATGGCCATGGGTTTGAGCCCGTATTTCAGGTCTTAGTCGGAAATGGTACTAGATATGGTATCATTCCCTGTGATAACACTGCTGTTTATTGGTTTTTCACCTGGTCGCCATCTGCTCAAGGTATGCTTATTGCCTTGTGCACAAACCCCGGATAGCAAGTCTACTACGTAATCATAAGAACCATCCTATATTCCTATTTGACTCTCAGTCCAAACTAATAGATACATGACCATTACTTAATAATGTAGATGTAGACTATGTAGTTAGATTCCACAGTAAAAAGAGTTGCATAATTTTATTTTCAATATTTTTTTTGGGTGATCATTTGGTTAGATGTGCTGTTAACTTGTAGTATGTTGTAACAGAGAATAGTACACTGCAAGAAGCTGATCAACTGAAGCTGAAGCAATTTTTGCTGAGTAAACTTGGGAAGGTACCTGACCAAATAAGGGCTGTGATAGAAGACACAAAAGTAGAAGAAATTGTACGTTCTCCACTAGGGCATAGACCTCCATGGCAGATATTATTTGGCAACATAAGCAAAGACAATGTATGTGTAACAGGTGATGCATGTCATCCAATGACACCAGACCTTGGACAAGGAGGGTGCTCAGCCCTAGAAGATGGAGTCATTCTAGGTAGATGCCTTGCCAATGTGTTGCTAGAGAAGTCAAGCTACCAGGAGAAGCAGAATGATGAAAATGAGGATGAGTACGACTGTACGAGTATAAGCGTATAAAGAGGGGGTTGAACGACTATGCAAAGAAGAGGAGGTGGAGAGCATTTGATCTTATTAGTACAGGTTATATGCTGAGTTGGTTACAGGAGTTTGATGGGTTTGGGATGCGGATTCTAAGAGAAAAACTGCTTTCTGGGTATCTAACTGGGTTTTTTACTAAGAAGGCTGATGTTGATCCTGGGCAGCTCGTTCTTGAGCACTGAAGCTCTCGGGGAGAGAATTTTCTGCTAAACTCGTGCTTAGCTTTCTTAAATTTCATTTTTCCTATAATGTCCAACATGTTTAGTGTCGTAATTTCAAATTGATGTAACTGAATTTGCTGATCTCAGATATTCATCATGTGCTTGTAATATCAGTTAACACCTTAAATTGTTCAAATAAACTTACATGGAACCGGCCTCACCATAACATTTCAACAATACTTCGGCCTCGCCATAAAATTGCTACATTACCCCTGGCCTCACCTTAGCATTTTAACAGGGCCAATTGATCTTGAGGTGACTTGTTATACTAATGAATGTCGAATGGTGACTAATATAGTTCAAAGTGTCTATAAGTCAATAAGAAACTGGCTTTTATGAATTGAAAAAAAGAATGAAGATGATGATATTCTACAAACACCTCTGCTATTGAATAAATGTAAAAGATCAGGTGACAACATACAAGCTCCAAAAGATTTACCCTTTAGGCTTCTTTATGAGATACAAGCTCAAAAAAATAAGGTCATCAACAGGAGAGTTCATGATAATATATTTTGTACCTTTCTGCTATAACAAAACGAAATCACCTCATATTTTGGCTGCAGTCAAATTCCCAAAAAAAAGAGCAGATGTTCACAGTTCATCCAGATGAACCCAATCCAAAAGACTTGACAATATTGCTAACCCTTTCAGCAAATGTCCAAGAGGTTATCTTTTTACCGGGTACGTGGAAAGGATTTGAAACCGCATCCACATAAGCTGCATGGAATTTCCTAAAGAACTGGTATCACCCAAAGTACATACAATCAGCTTTACAATATAACCAGTATTCAGTTACACACAATCAGCATTACAATATAACCAGCATTCACTGACACACACACACACATGTGAATAAGTCAGTATAGATCCTTTGTAATTCAAAAGCACCAAAATCCATTTTCAATCAGCTATTATCATTTATTACGAAATGAAACAATCATAGTTATCATCCCAGAAGATGAAAAACAACGGAATAGAGAGCAGACAATCTGAATATTCAGGTACCACCTAGAGTTATTCCTAAACCAGCCATTTAGCATCATCATTTCATAATCACCTCATACCTAAAGCTTGACAACCAAAAGCAGATCAAGAGCACAGTTTCTTAGAGCAGATAAATGATACAATGACTCTTAGATGCACACGCACCACAAATGATCCACCATTATCTCAGCCCTGCATAATAGAAAGTTTAGAACCAGAGGGAGTATTCCCCGGGGGAGATAAAGCATCATTCTCATTTTTCACATAAAGCCAGCAATATCACAGCAACATTGTTTTACTCACAATTATTCCAATACCAAATCAAGCAAATTTGCAAAAACATTAACTGCATGAAGGACAACAGGCACAATCCATAGCAAGCACAATTTATTTTATGAAAGTTTCCAAAGCTTATCTTAGCTATATACTTACATTTCTCACGTCAGCATCTCTTACATCTAAATCGGTGGTCACCAAGATGAATTTCACCTTAGTATTGGTCAAATAGCCATATCTGCAAGCAACAGTAAACTGATTTCATCATTATCATTATTTATAAGGCTGCTAATATCACATTTCAAGCAATACAACTGATCCCACCTTAACAAAATTTCAAGGGGAAAGATACCTACACTTTGTAGTTTTCTGTTGGGTAAAGCAGACCTAAAAATGTTTCATTCAGCATTGGCCCAGATTTCTTGGGATTGTTCACTGAAATATAAAACAGAAAACATGAGTTACCCAACATTAAATCAAGCATGCATTGCACAATTACTAGGTGAAATATTCATCCGTTATATGGAATACGAACTACAGAGTACATATTTGAAATTATTCCATTGTAAAAACGTTTACCAAAAAAAAAAAAAAAAAAAAGATCAAAAGATTTTCAAATTCTACTAATTCCAACCAATCCTTTGGTTCAAGGGAAGTTTTCACTAACACTAACATCTCATTTAATAGGTGTTCATTAAGTGCAAGATTGGTCATGAATTTGTATGTAAATTTGCAAGGAATACCCTAGTTCAATACCAAGTCAAGGGAACTCCATCTTTAAACATGTGTTTTCATTCATATACTTCTATCATCACACGATACCACCTTTAAAGTGGTCATGGGTGGTAATGGAAATTTGCAAAGAAAATGATGTATTTGAGAAGGGACTAGCATTACTTTTGGTATTGGCAAGAGATTTTCTTCACAAATTTCCTTATAAAATCATTACACACCTAACAAATGGGTCATAAGAAGAATGACAATTCAATTAACTTTCAGAGTTATGGGGGTTACTTTGGCAAATTCCAAATCACAGAATTGAAAACCGGGTCTATGCCTAAAATCACGGAGTTATTGTTTATGTTACTATGTACAAAAAGTACACCTTTCTTTCTCTTCCCCTCAATAAGTTTCCTCTCGGCAACTGACATTTTGTTTTTAATTAATGTAGCTTGCAACTATTACACAAAGATTGTTAATAACACCCTGCATTCTATTATTTCTTACTTGGGTTCAGTTCTTATTCTCAAACAGCAGAATTACAGAAATATCACCATTGAATATAGATGCAACATATTGCTATCAACTATAATTGGTTAGTTTCTGCTAGATAATGAGAAATACAGAAAATCACACAATTACTTCTGTTTGAAAATATAAAGAGAGAAATAAACCTTAGTTCTATCCTTCAAAGTAATCATATATATCTTCATCAAAAATTCGAGAATGGGTGAAATGTTGCAATTAAACAGGGTTCATTTTGAATTGCCTTGTATCAACTCTAGGGTTAGGGTTTCGGCAATTAAATTACATTAAATTTACCACCAAATCAAAATCTCAACTCAAAATTCCCACATTTTTGGCCAACTTCCCCCAAAAAACAAAGACAACACCTTGAAATGAAGGGTACTTAATTCCAACAAGTAAATGAGCGGAAATCTATGAAAAATCACAAATCAAATCAATGAAGATCGGAAAGAGAGAAGACCTCGTTCGTCAATAACATCAAGGGAGCAGTGAACGATGTGATGAAGCTTAAGGGCATCATCACCCTCATTAAAGCTTTGAATGTAGAGTGGATTATTCTGCAGAAATTAAATGTTTTCAAATTTGTTGATTCGTAATACCCAGAAAAATCAAAGACTGAGAAAAAGTAAATCATAAGACAAATGCAGGAAATTGACAGAGAGAGAATTAGAGAAAGATAACCTGGTGGCCGACGACTGCAACACAGACGATCATGTTTTCGGAAGTTTTGAAAGATGTCTCACTTCAGCTGCACTAGACAAAGTCACCAACATCAAACATCTCACTTTTGTAACAGAACTCAGAAGGCTCAAAGCTCAATGGCTCACTACTCCGTTTCATATTCACGTATTTTTTGGTTCAAGTTTAACTTGCACACTTATCGACACATTTTAGTCGCTACTCCGTAATCCGTATATAATAGAGCAAAAATAAGCAAGACTTGGTCTAGTTTAAAAGTTTATTACTCCTTATTACACAATTATAAGGTTGTGGGATCAAACTCCACTGGAGGCGCATTGGGTGGAGATTTTGCCCCCCATATGCTTCTTCAAGTATAACTCGAGTCATTCACATTTTAGTCGTTCATTCGTTATGTATAGAGTATGACAAGCAAGGCTTCGTCTAGTCGAAAGAATTACTACTTACACAACCATAAGATTATAGGATCAAACTCCACTAGAGCCGCTTTAGGGTGGGAATTTCGCCTTTAAATTTTTCTCCAACTATAACTCGAGCCATGCTCCTAGGTGCAATAAATTTCTGTTAATAAAAGATAAAATAAGTACCATTTTGATTTTTGTGAGTAATTATTAGTTATAGAGTAGCAAGGTTTGCAACTTGTTGATATCTTTCATTCTTCTGCTATGATAACACTTATTCAAAATTACGTAGATAATTATTTGGCTTAATCAGTTAAAGTATAAAGTAGGTACTCAAGACTTGTCAACGATTGAGATTAAATTCTAGTTTTTTTTCTTTTAATTGAGATCAAATTTCTATTTTTTTTTTCTTTTAATTGAGATCAAATTATAGTTACATTTACATCTATATCATTCATCCCTATGCGGCCGTGCTTCTCTTTGCAACAAACTAAAAAACGAATCCAAAATTACAACCTTGTCCCCAAAACATTGATATTCGGAGTCGTCGACTAGTCGTAAAATAAAACAAGAGAAGGTTAGTAAACTTAGTACTCCGTAAAAAAACCAGACCGTAAAAGAACAAAGCAAAATTTGGGGAAAGACCGAAAGAGTGTTAAGTGTTGCTCCATACTGGGGAGGAAGAACCCTAATTCTTTATATTCCCCCTTTTCTGTTCGCGCAATTCTAAGCGTTATCTATTTGCTCAATCTTTCTCTGCAATCAATCCCCTTCAATTTTGCTCAATCAGGTATTATCTCTTTCTCTCTCCTCTCAATTCAGCATACAGTTTGCTCTTAATTGCAATTTTCTTGGTTTCGTCATTCTGTCTCCTACTATAAGATGTTATACTTTGGAATCAATTGAAATTAAATTGCATTAATCAATTGATTGAGGTGTTGCACTATCTCTTTGTTTTAGAATTTACAATTACTGAAACAAGCTCAGCATTGTTGATTTTAAATTTTGGTATCAAAATTTGAACAGTTCTTTGTTCTTAATTTGGTTTTTGTGAAAGGTATTATAGGAAATTCAATTCTCCTATGTCATATGTTATTGTAATTGATGTATTAATAATTGTTGTTTTCGGTTTGCCATAGATTAGCCTTGAAAGATGTCGGAATACCAGGATGATCCTGATAAGAATGGTTCGTCTCCGCAACCTCAAGAAAATGATCACGGGGGCATGGATGAAAACAATGATGCCAAATCTCAGGTATATAGGTTATGTTTATCGCACTATGTAATTTACGCAGTATTAAATAAAGCTTGAAAGATTGAATAGATAACATAAGTTTGAAATTTGTTAGAGTTGTTGGTTCAGTGTTATGTAAGACTGTACTTTGCTCGATGCACCCTTTTAGCAGTACTCCCTCTAATGTGGCTTTGATAATGTGATTTGGATAATCAATGTGATAATTAAACCTTGATGGTGGTATTGTAGTACTTGTAGTATATGCTTTGTCATGTAGTCTTGGAGGGATATTGTTTATTTTTGTGCTAACATGGTGTTTTTTGGCAGCATGGTTCACGTGATCACGAGAGGAGTTCTTCAAGAAGTAGAGAGAGGGACCGAGAGAAGGGACGGGAGAAAGATCGAGATGGGGAGAGAGAGAAGGATAGGGACAAGGAGAGAAGTAGAGATAGAGATAGGGACAGAGACAAGGATAGGGATAGGGATAGGGAGAGAGACAAAGACAGGTCTCGTGATAGGGATCGGGATCGAGATCGTGATCGTCATAGAGATAGGCATAGGGATAGGAGTGATAGAAGTGATCGCCACAGAGATAGAGACATTGACGATGATTACTACAAAAGCCGAGATCGTGATAGGTATTAAATTCAGCTTTCTTTGTTTTCTGTTGTCCATCTATTATTGTTTTTGCTGTACTTAGTAATATCTTTTGGCAGTCTTTGGTACTTGGTAGTTTATTGATTCAAGTTTTATGCAACAATTCAATCATTCTATTAATTTCTCTAGTTTTTGTTAAGGTTATGGTGATGGTACCTTTTCCCTTTGATAATCTCACATACGAATGGACGAGGAATTTTTGTATGTTTAACTTTTTTGTTTGATTTAAAATTGATGTTGGGAAGCTGTCCTGGTCTCCTCTGTTAGGTAATAGGTTGGGAATTTTCTGACTTGATTTGGTGCCTGAAATATCTCAGGATACTTATTCAGTCTCTATTAATCGTAGGGACAGCATTGTAAGTTGGTTAACTTTGTTGTGTTGACTTTTGTTTGTACATAGTGGCTACAAAGTTGTGATATAGAAGGTTGGGCACATGGTATTAATTTTAAACACTTTGCTATATGATATATGGCAGTGTTGCATGGAGGATTACTGATATTCAGAGGCATGTTCCATTATAGGTCACTGTAACAAAAAAAAATCCTTTGCATTTTTTGCTCGTTGTCGTGTTAGCTTAATTATCTTGATTCCTGCTCTAAGCTGTTTTGGTTATTATCTGAATAATACAAGCTTAATAAGTCATGCTTTCACGAGTTACATTGCTTTGTTTGTTATGTATAAAATTTTATGTGTCGACTTTTTTTGGCAAGATTTATTGAGCTTTAATGGGTCGTATTGTGTGAGGGCTAAATTTAATGGAAAAAGGTAATATATTACGAATTTTAATCCTGCCTTTGTTGAGCATAGAAAGTTAAAAGTATTCTGCTACCTCCTTGAATCTCCTTGTATATGTTTTTTTTTTTTTTTGTCCCTTTTCCTTTGAAGCTTGCTTGTTTCTGCTTGATGCCACATTGATTGATGATTGTATGTTTAGGCGGAGAGATTATGATCGTGATAGGGATGATAGACACAAACACAGATCTCGTTCAAGGGGAAGATCTGAGCATAGGTCAAGGTCTCGATCTCGTTCTCGCTCCAAAAGGTTGGTAAAGCTATAATTTCTAGCATATCATTTCGTGTATGCAACATATTTGTGCTTGCTAATGTGTGAATTATATTCATTCTAGTGCAAAATGTTTGATATCAATGGTAATTTGAACTATTAGAATCATTAGTGATCCGATATTAACTTATCAAGTGACAATCACTACATTTTATGGTTATACCTTAAGTCTTTTGTTATGTTCATGCCTCAAAGCATTTTATGTCGTAAAAAACTCTTGAATAATTTTTTTAAATCTTGCTCGTTCCTTTAATGAGTGAGATTCTTAGAGGAATATGTATGGATTAAAAGAATGCTTTTATGTGCGCTGATTATGGGAATACCAACTCTACCCTTTAGCATAAAAAATATTCACATGTCTGGTGCCCCTCCTTATATCTAGTAAATTAGTAATACTTGGTTCAATCCTGTTATTGTGAAGTAGCAACTAGCAGCATTTCACACTTCAGATCAACCTTCAACTGAATTTTGGAAACTTGGGCTGTATTGGAACGGATACATATACAATTACAATTTATATGTGGTCATGTGGAGGGGGGGGGGGGTCTTGAAAGTCAATGCAGTCACAACGATATGCACTACATTATTCTGTACAACTTTCTGTTATTAGAAGAATAATGCAAATATGCTCCCCCTTCTCTCTTGTTATCTTTCCTATTTTCTAATTCTCTTGACGATTTTAAGAAAACTAGTTGTAATTAGGTGTTATTATGGAATATCAAATTTTAAGAGACCTAATTATGTATGAGGTAACTATGACAATCACTTTTAGATTTCATTTAATTTTTAATTTAAATTTTTTAAAATTTATTTTCTTTATTTTGTTTGATACTTTCCTTTTTCCTTTTGTTTTACTGCTACCCTTATATGGCCCTTACCTGTCTAAGCTGTTGAGAGAAAAACAGTGCTCTCTTGTGCCTAAGACGTTTTGAGGAATGTTGAACATCTGTTTGTATTGGTGTCTCATATGGGACATGCACATGCCACCTGCGTGGTGTGTCCTTTAAAACCTTTGAGTTTAGTCTCTCCTTAGTCCTTATTGCAAGCATACAGATGAATACTTCCCACATCCCCTATTATGCTATGGATTGGAGCCTTGTTGTACGAGTTGAGATGATGTTGAAGTTGATGTAATTATTCAATCAGTGGGAAAAATCTTTACCAAGACATCTTCGTTGTCTATTATCGTTTATGGTTTTCTTTTATGGTCAACAATAATTAGGATGGAATGTGATACTTTCTAGTTTCTACTATAAATATTTATTTTTTTGAAGTTTCCTGATGCTTGTCTCTTTTTTCCTTTAGGTGCCTTTAGTTCTGTATAATTTCCGAAGGTAGCAGCAGCTGTACTTGATTGTTCCGGTTGTTTAAACCATGTTGATGTTTGAATAATTTGTTCTCCATAGCATTAAAAGATCTAACTAAATCTCTGCCTGAATGTTTGCTGTCATTTGTGTTTAAATCGTATTTCATGGGTTTCCTTGAAAATTTTGCCTATTTTTCCTCTGCTGAGGTTGCTTACATGTGCACCCCTTTTCCCCAACATATTATTTCTTGTTGAATAGTTACCCTACCTCTTGTTACCACATTGGTCTTGTATGGTTTTTGCATATCAGATTATCAGAGTATCAGACTGAATGGCTTATTCAAAGTCTTCTCCTTCCAGTCTGTCAACTTATATCTCTTCAGTTGGTCATCTTTGTGAATTTGTGGTCTATAATTTTATGTTTCTATAACTGTTCATGACATTTTTTCTTATCTGGTGGACTCTAACATATGTTGTTACAGCAAAAGGATAAGCGGGTTTG